AGAGAGACTGGCTCTGATGGCATTCTGTTACCCAGCTGTATTTATTCCGTGAGCACACTAGGCTTGGGGTCTTTTCCTGTCCAGGACTGGTCCAGCCTGGCAGAGGCCTCAGATGAGTGACCTGAGGGCCTAAATGCCGAGACTCAAGTTCTGTTATGCTGACTGAGGGCTGTCTACTGACTGGTCACAGAGAAAGCCATGCAGCTGCTCTTGGGCCAAGTGAGTACAGACACCCTTAAAGGATCTTAGAGACTTGAGCTTTGTCCACCCAATCTACCTCTTAAAGGGACACTGCTCTGGGGCTCTAAGAAAGAAGGTTACACACCTGCTGCCGGTACCATGTGATCACAGCAGATCACGTGACAATTATAAACAATGATTGGCTTTGATTCATGCCATTCATTTTTACAATTGTGTTGTGATTGGTCACAGTGATCACATAGTACAAACAGGGCCAATCACTTCCCATCTGTACCATATGATTAGCTGTGGCCAAAACAAAATGACTTGCCATGTCTCCTACTAAATACCTTGGACTGTCTACTTTCCGAAAAGGGGGCATTTGAGGGATATCTCTACTGTCCTGACATTGTTTTGGCCTCAAGCAATGAGATAGGCCGCCAGTACATCAGGATTGATCGATTTTCAGATATACCATAGTTTGTGGACTCTATAAACTTTCTTACAGAGTAAACAATAAATACTGATTTTGGTTATTTTCACCAAAGAAATGTAGCAAAATACATTTTGGCCTAAATTTATGATGAACAATTATTTTGTTAAAAAAAACAGAAATGAAGAAAAACACTCCAATTGTTTAGCAAAAAAAAAACCCAGTAGTGATTAAAAACCACCAAAAGAAAGCTCTTATAGGTGTGAAAAAATAATGCTAAAAACTTAGTTTGGGTACAGCGTTGCATGACCGCGCAATGGTCAATCACAATGCAACAGCACTGAAAGCTGAAAATTGGCCTGGGAAGGAAGGGGGTAAAAGTGCCCGGTATTGAAGCAGTTAAGCAATCGTTTTTGGTTATTGTTTTTTTTACTTTCAAAAATGATCTGCATTCTCAGATTTCCTTTATGTAGAGACGGATTAAGGCAGACTGGAACTGTAAGCAAGCTTTGACCATGCACCTCCATCCCTTCAATTGACGTTGTTAGGGACTGCAGTAGGTACAAAGAAGCCAACTCCCCCCCTCCCCCCCATTTGTATTGTCTATACTGACATGAGCCCAGTAGATACCAAGGGGTAGATTTGCTAAAACCGAAGCACTCAGAATCTAGTGCAGCTGTGCATTGTAACCAATCAGCTTCTAACTTCAGCTTGTTCAATTAAACTTTGGCAATAAAACCTGGAAGCCGATTGGTGTCTATAAATTGCACCAGATTTTGCACTCTCCAGTTTAAGTAAATAACCCCCCAACTGCCTACAAGTACATCCTCCCTTATGAAGTGACAGGCAGGTGCCCAGCTTTAACTGTACTGCCCCTAGATTACTGTAGGAGCATGGAGGTTGTAGCTGGGCCCCCTGGACATCCACCAGGCCCAAGGCTGCCTTGTGGATGATTGGGCTTTTTTTAGAATTACCGGATACCCTAATTCAAGGAAAAATCTAATTTTTTTGTGTAATACTTTTTTAAACGGGGGCATGGTAGGGGTGTAAACTTTGCTTTAATGTCTGCTCAAAGGTGTTTCTACTGTCTGCCATAGAAAGCTGGGAGGTATGCTGAGGATAAAGACTGGCGTTCACCTACTACCTTGTAGCTATCAATTATGTGCAGGAATCATACAATTCTAGCATTTTCTGGGACGTTTTGTTCACAAGCTTAAAACAACATTTTTTGCTAGAAAATGACTTATAACCCCCAAACATGAAATATTTTTTTTCATCTTTTCCTTTTAAATGTAAAGAAGAGATTTGGGGTCTTTTTGACACCAGATCTCTTCTTAAAGAGGACCTGTCATGTATATTTCTATTACAATTGATGTTTACATTCCTTGTAATAGGAATAAATGTGATATATTGCATATATTTTAGCAAAGACCCTAGAGAATGAAATGGTGATCGTTGCAATTTTACATGTCACAAGGTATTTGCGCAGCGGTTTTTCAAACGCAATTTTTTGGGAAAAAATACACTAATAGTGAATTAAAAAAACAAAACAAAACACAATATATCACATTTATTCCTATTACAAGGAAGGTAAATATACATTACAGGTCCTCTATAAGAAGAGATCTGGGGTCAAAAAGACCCCACATCTCTTATTTACCTTTAAAAGCAAAAGATTAAAAAAAATGTTTTTTGAACTTTTGTTTTAAAAAAAGAAAAAATGTGTTCACTTCCATCGCCGAGTGGAAATGATGTCATGACATTGCTCCGGTCCTCCATCAGGATACAGGTAATCAAAGATGAGTGTTTCATTGCCTCCATCTTGAACAGGCCATATCATTGGATCATTTCCCAGGCTGGCCGGCTTTAACAGTAAACCCGAGAAACACCGGCGAGCAGAGGGGGAACATCCCTTCCCACTGCTATGGAAAGCAATCAAGTGGCTCAACAGATGCTAGGACTGCTTTCAGGAGAAAGCCAGCCGTTTGCTGAAAAAAAAAAATGATACCTGTAAACCACTTAAAAACAGCAACGTTTATATACGTAATGTGGTCCCTTCCAAGGTCAAAGAACAAAGAAAAGACATATGAAACATACTTCAGACAAATTTAACCTCTTTCTGTCCGGCCCATGCCGATAGACGAGATCGTTGCCGATCCAGGGGGACATTTCTAAACGTCCCCCCGCATACATTGCCTGTGCCTGCTCCTTGGGAGGTCACATGGTACAAGGCTATTCACAACAGCCTTGCACCATGTGACAAGCTGTGCCCAATTACAGCTCTCACAGCATTTCTCAATGGCTGCAGGAATGCCTCTATTGAAAAATACTACTGACAGCAACACTGTCAGTAGTAATTACCTCCTTTCTCCTGCAGAAATTCCTTTCTGTCACTAGATGTCCTCAGTCTTCTGAGTTGCATGACACCCAGCATTAACCCAGAAAACTGAAGACATCCTATTAGTGCATGGACCTGTCACACTGACATCATCCGCCACTCTGAGTATTGAGAACATCTGAAGAGGAAGAGGACCCTGCATGCCACATGACTACCATCTAAAAAAAAAAAAGGTAATTATATAAAAAAAAGCATAAATTACAAGCTAGATGGTCTTCCAGGGGAAAGAGGGGGTGACTTATAAGGCAGTTGGGGGGGGGCAAAGTCTGTCAATAACTAGATTAGATGTTCCGGGAAGAAAACGTTACTTAGGTATTGTAAGGAAGTCATGTAACAATCTGTAAGAGGAACAGTATTGTGTGCAGTGGGTTTCCTGTATAGATGGAACGCGTCCTGTGAGGTTAGGTGAGGCTACTAAGATCGGTCTGTTTCTATTTCCTCATGACATGCAAACCTTTGCAAAACCTCTCTAGGTAATAAAACGTGTCTTATTTCCTATTATACTCACATTTAAATTTGTGTTTCCTATTGCAATTGTTTTTATTTCTATTTTTAAATCCATGAACACGTTGACCAATTTACATATGGCTGTCTTTTCCTATGGAGCTGTACAAAGTCAATACTACAGATAAAAGGAAATATACATTTAAAGAACCTTTAAAATGTTCGCCAAGTTAAAGGGGTATCTTTGTTTATTTTGTATTTACTTTTTTTCCTGAAATTTACATTGGCAAAGACAGATACTGATTAATGTACACAGAAGTAAAGCACATCGAAACCCAAAAACAAAAATTGAATATAATGAATTTACAAGTCCTTTGATGTGGTGACTGCATTCATTTCCTATATTTTAGCTTGTTTTTCTTTTTTTCACCTGGTGATACAGCCAGCAAGGCCTTGTTTACATCTGTTTTGTTCTCTGCAGAGCGATCCATGTTCAGATCGATCTTCAGAAAGCATTTGACAGGTGGCGAGGAGGCTTTGTATTGTCTCCTAACTGCCTGTTTTGCCCCCCCTAAATGTCAGACTTTTGTACCGACAGGGGATGGGGGTATAATTCACGAAGCGAAGCAAAGCATCACATCTACGGCATGTGTCCACCTCCAGATGCTACCTTTCCAGCTAAAGATTTAGGGACAGTAATAATGCGGATCAACAGTTGGTTATACCCCCCCCCTCCCCCAACCACTGGAGAAAATGAGCCCTACATCTTTTATTTTTCAACTTCCTTTAACAGATCAAGCTGTCCAGCAGAAGTATCATTTAGAGGGTTGGGACAAATCATTTAACGCTGACAGGGTGCTTACAATGATAATCTTTTATTCATTTATATAAAACCTTTATCCTAAAAGGAACAAAACTGTTTGCTGTAGCTCTTTATAAAGTGTTAACTGGAGTTCAGCTTCAATTTGTAAGCCAAATTCATCTGAAATAATCCAGTGCAGTTTACCTTCTCCACAGGTTAACAATGCTGCTTTCTGAGGATGGCTATGTTACTCCTCCATAGGCACAGTGGAGGAAAGAGTGTAACCCTCATTAAGATAGGAAGTGTGTTATTGGCTGGAACACCAGGTCAAAATAAAGAGAAAAAAAATTTCAAAAGAAAACTAATGCAGCCACCACACCGATGAGCTCATCTCTGTTTCGCTCTGCTCTCTCCTCCTATCAGCATGCCCCATGCACTACAGCTCAAACTATTTTGCTCCTTGTGCTGCTTCTCCCTCCCTCAATCTGGGATGTGCTGTACAAGGCGTGGTAAGAGGCTGATACCAAGTAAATTTAAAGTATTTACACTGTTTGCATTTAAAAATAAATTTAATGATGTATTAAATAATTAACACAGCAACATTATTTTGTGCTGTTTATATATGCCTGGAGTTCAGCTTTAAAGCCCTTCTGTGTATATTATAATATTTTATTGTGTTTTTCTTTATTTAGATAAGCTTGTCATAAAATCCCTGGAGACTGGTGCTACCGGATTTACTCAGCATGACCACCCACGTGACGCTGGAAGATGCGTTATCTAACGTGGACCTATTGGAGGAGTTACCACTCCCTGATCAGCAGCCATGCATCGAACCTCCTCCGTCCTCCATAATGTACCAGGTACCATCTTGTCACAGAGCTGTAGTGCTTCATACTCTTCTTTCATGATCATGAATTTTCTTATTAAGGGACTTTATAATTATTCTTTATATTAAAGCGGAACTTCACTGTATCTGAGCACCACAAACCAAAAACGCTATTTAATTCATATTTTATATTCCATGCAAACCCCCCCCCCCCCCCCCCATCCATGTCTCCATGCTTTATTTTGCTGAGAAATCCCTTTTGAAAAACATCCCCTAGCATTTCTGGCAGTGGCCATCTTGAGTAAGGGCAGATTATTCATGCAGCATTTACTTCCTGGAATCCATCTGTCCTTAGCTCAGACATGCAGGCAGGAGGGTGTGCTTAGCTGAGAAAACCCCTGCTCTCCTCTTGGATGCTCCTGTGATATAGGACATCATTTGCCTAAGTAATTGATGTGTAACATATGCTACACCTTCCTATCTATTTACTAAATGCTAGCAGCAAAATGATTAAAAATAGGCAATGTTGGTTGCCGGAGTGAAGTTCCACTTAAAATTCCCATGACCTCCTTCGCAGTGGCTAAAGTACCAGGATCTCATGGGTAGTGTTTGTTAACTGCTAGTATAAGAGAGAATGCAAAGAGCACACACAAGGAAACCTGCATGTATGTTTCAATTACAGATGGTTTGTCACTTTGATGTTTTGAAAGGAAGAGTGATTCAGGAGCTTAGGTAGACAGCATTCAGATAGAACCGAACCGGATATCGTATGTACTCTCCAGCGCCTCAGGATATGCACAGCCAAAATGGAAGCCAACGGTACCAGGACAGCGACAACCAAAGGAAATGCTTCAGGGGTGCAGCCCTCCTCAGACGGGGAAATCAGCCACTAGATAGAGAGAAAACAGGTGGCGCACACACCTAGTGCATTATCCAAGGTTTATTGTAGGAGTGAAAGAATAATAATAACATACTCACAGACGAAGCATGTATCTAAAAAGCATAGAAAAATGACAATGGCCACAGGAAAGGATTCCAGCAGCCATTTCCCCACAGGCATAAAGCACACTCCCACACCATCCCACTCAGGCATCAACAGCAAGGCTCTTACTTTCCATTCATCATACATCTGCATCAGAGGTTGGTCATCAGCTCTGAGGAAAGGGATTCGTCCCCGAAACGCGTCAGCTATTTGACCGCACTGACAGTGAGAACACCTTGCCTGCCGTTGTGGCCATTGTAATTTTTCTATGCTTTTTAGATACATGCTTCGTCTGTGAGTATGTTTTTATTATTCTTTCACTCCTACAATAAACCTTGGATAATGCACTAGGTGTGTGCGCCACCCGTTTCCTCTCTCTAGCATTCAGATAGAGTTCAGTCATGTGCAAAAGCAAGTAGGGTTGTGAACAGCAACTTGCCCACCCCCCATGATTTTTTTTTGTTTTGTTTTGATTTAGTCTTGACACATGGTTTAAATACAAATTTTGGTTGGAGTTCTACTCTATAGGTGTGAAGCATATGGGGGTGAAAGCCAGATGAAACATCTGGGCAGGCAGACTGGGTTGCATTTCTGATGTTTTAATTTTTTTTTTTTCTTATATCATTTTAACATATATTTATCTGTTTTGGATAAATTAAGGAATGGATAAAAATATTTTTTTTTTTTTGCTATCATTTAGAACATGAAATCAGCTCATAGATAGTTGGCACTGGAAGAGCTGTCCCATTAGAAAATTTCCCCTCATCTCTTGTTCCTGTAACACCTTAAACTTTTCCAGTGACAATAGTAAGCAGGGCAAACAGAGAGGCTAAGGCAGCCTATAGATTATGTAATTTTCCTTTCTGCAACCTTGATTCTCCCATCAATACAGTCAGTGTATTCCTCCCACCGATCTATTGTCTCCTTGCCTGGAGAACACGATAGCTGCTAGTGGCTATAGGCAGTAATCGCATGCTAATAATCCAACATGCTGGTTGTACCCAACTCAATCATTGGATTGACTTGGGGACAATCATTGGATTGACTTGGGGACAATCATTGGATTGACTTGGGGACAATCAGCCTGTCCCTGATGAACCGGATGAGATTCGATCCATCTATGAGTGGCTTAAATCTCCCTAGCAGGGATCCAGGCAATAATAACCCAACCCTACTCTATCCAAAGCTCAATTTATAGATCCTTTGACCAAATTACTGAGATTTCTGAAGAAAGCCAAAGATCAACTTCTAGAATGTTATTGTTCTTTATTCCTGCAGGCTAACTTTGATACCAATTTCGAGGATCGGAATGCGTTTGTAACTGGTATAGCCAGGTACATTGAACAAGCTACAGTCCATTCCAGCATGGTGAGTGGCTTCTAAATTCAGTCTAAATATCAGTGCATTTTTAGAATGAGGCCAGAAATGGCACCTCTATATTTCTGCCATGGAAGGTATACTTTAAATGATGCAAGGACAACCTAATGCCGCTATTTTGTTTAAGAAGCTAAAAGTCCTACCATGGCCTCTCAACTAACTGTATATTACACATGTGTTAGATACATTAATAACAATACTGACATAAAATGTTTATGCTGCAGAATGAGATGCTGGAAGAAGGACAAGAGTATGCGGTCATGCTGTACACATGGAGGAGCTGCTCTAGAGCCATTCCACAGGTAAAAGAATCTGTTTTGCATGTGATGGGTCAGAAATATATGTTTTCAATGGTTTGATGTGGCCATAGGTGCAGCAGTCAGGTAGAGAGCAATGCATACCTGCAACTATATCTTGCAAATTGTAGGATCCACATAAGGTACTCTGAAATCACCATTTTAAAAGAAAAAAGCTGCGTACAATAAATATATAAACTTTGTCTGGTTCTTGAGGAACAGATATTTGCTTCATGGGTGGCCCTGTCAATAGCCTCCCACCTGACATCTCTTGATTAAAAAAGCCAGGCTGAAAATTGATGGCCAAACAGCAGCTGCATCCAATTAGATGCAGCCAATGTTGTAATACTCTGGCAGGCACTGACTGCAACTGTCAGAATACATTAGTCACAGTCAGGGCTGTGGATAAGGGGGTACCATTAGTCCTCCTGTACGGGGCCCAGTCTGGCAGGGGGGCCCATGCAGATGGGTGATTTGGACGTGTGCAGGGATGGTGATCAGCTTGGTGGGGGGGCAATTACTAGAACCAATCCCATGTCTCTGCAGCAGCTGAAAGAGAGCCATACAGGGAGAATTCCAGTAATTGCCCCTCCTCTGCATCCATCACTCTGCTTGTGCACCATGCATTTACCCCTGCTGCCTAGGCCCCCTGTATACCCCCACCCTTGCAGTGCTTCCGGCTTCTCCCTTCTCCTTCCCACTGGCAGCTGCAAGCACACAATCGAATCCTGCTGGATGGAGAGTGGGGTAAAGTTCTGGTAAATATGTCACATTTACCAGCCCTTTCCTTTCCTAAATGAACACATTGAGTGATTGATACCAATCACTCACTGTGTTCATTCATAACTGAAGCGTAGTAAACCTTTTTTTTTGAGGTTGGGCCCTGTCAGGTTGGCTGTATGGGGCCCTGTGATTTCTAACAGCAGCCCTGGTCACAGTGGGAGATTCCTGCATCAGTGCTGTATAGTGTGGATGGGGGAATCTGTTAGGGTGAACAAAAATTATTATGTGTGTATACCCTGCGTTTGATACATACAGAAAGCCATTTATCTGTTCAGTTTTTTATCTAGACATTGCTGTAGAGCATCAGCAAACCCCCGACTAGCTTGTCAGTAATCTGGTGATTAGAGAACGCCTGCTTGTGATGTAGGAGTGTAATTTCTAAACACCCCCACCTCAGGCTTATCACTATCTAAGTAGTATAAAGCAGGGCTTGAAAATTCTGCTCGGCCACTCGCCAAATGCGAGGGGAAATTCCTTTCTGGCGAGCACAGTAATGCCCTGCACATTTATTGATGAGGCGGGTGGCTTGCAATGCGATCCCCAGGCCCCTTGGATCGATTTGCGTTCCACTTGCTCTCCAAGTCTCGTTTTGAAGCCGACTTCCTTTTCCCAACTTCCGGCTTCTTCTTCGGCACTGCCATTACACTGGCAGCGCCGCTGAGGGGACAGGTGCAGGAGAGGTCTGCTCTCCTCCGCAGAGGGAGACAGAAGGAGAGGCCCGCTCTCCACTGCTACGGGGGACACGTGAAGGAGAGACCCACCAACGATGCACATCCATACATATTTTTGGGCATCTAAATAAGCACTTTGTTTTTTTTCTTAATACACTACTTCTCTAAGCTCTCTTTTAAAAAACGTGATATTTTGATTGCACCCTATTGCTATTAAGCTATTACTGTTATGTTTAAATTGACATAATAAAGTTATGTTAGAATTGCTGTTTTTTATATTTTGGACTCTTTATTCTAAAGAAAAATGTAATTTCATGAGCCTTAAGGGGGCGTGGTTGGGGGCAGGGGTGGGGATGGGCCAGGGGTGGGGTTGGTGGCGGACCTGGGCAAGGTTTGGTGGGGCAATTGATGGAGAGTAAGGTTTTTGCCTGGCTAGTAGGTCTAGACTTGAAATTTTAAGCCCTGGTATAAAGTATAGTTGGTACCAAGATTGTATTTGCCATATTGACACGTGGGCCAGTGTCTAGAGCAGCAGGACTAGAGGACCAGCACTAAACAGCAATTTGTAAAAATTGTTGTAGCACCACCCCCAAAGGAGCCATTGATGATTTTGGGTTCTCTGTTCTGCGCCACAACTCCAAGAACAATATCGGACCATCCGGAAACACCTAGTTGAATAGGAATACTGCAAACACAAGTGCAAGGGACTCTCAACAGAATCGCTTTACAAGATAATGCTTTACTAGGAATTGTTAAGTCAGCAGGAGACAAAAAGAAAAGTTAGTTGTGGGTGTTCCCCAACCTGCAAAATTTATCAAATGAAGTCAGGAAGATATACAGTAGAAATGACCATGTCAATAGTTTTAAATGCAGGACCAACAAATTCTAAATAAACCTATGATTCCAGGAGCAGGAGTGGGGACCTTTAGTCAGTCAGCTCCCTCTACTTCCTGCCTCCACAGGCAAAGAAAGCAATAAAGCACAATTTATGAAACCTGGGTAGGAGTTCTGTCTTGAAGTAAACAAGCGCTACGTCAGCAATAGTAAAAAGAAAGACAGTCAGTGGCAAACGGAATCCTTTGAATTGAGAAATCCTGGAGGTAAATGTATCCTTGTCTTCAGCTAGTTTATGATGAGGCTCAAAGGTATCACTATGCGATGGCAACTAGCAAAGTGAATGGAATAGCAAAATGTATTCTTCAAAATAGCCCTTGAGTAGGTAAAGAGGGGGGATAACGGTGCCTGAATGCAGTGCCTATACTGTATTAGGGAGAATGTTGGACTTGCATCCACTCACCAGAACCCTGGGAGATAACACAACCAAAATCTGCTGTGGAGGGTCAGGCTTCTGGCAGATTGCCTCCTGGAAACCAATCAAGACAGTGGGTAGTGATGCCTGCAAGGTGCTCAGCAGTGGCCAACCCGATTCCCGGAGATTACTGCGGTCCCTGGAATGTTGAAGGTCACCCTGTAGTGCTTGACTGCTGAGCAGGTTTACTGTGCTGGATGGTAGAGCCACGGTCTGGTCTTGACAGGGAAAAAGACACGCCCCCCCCAACCCTCTGTCAGCCTCCAAGTCCCCACGCCAAGAGCACCAGCAAAGCTGTTGCAGGGGAATATATCTGCCTTTCCAGGATGCCCTTCAGTTTTCCTCTCCTCTGGTAAATGTGGTCCTGACAATGCTGATAAATACAGTGCCTCTAGGTGATGGGACTACAGGTCCCAAGATCCCATGCTTCTCAGAACACTTCCCACTCTGTCTACCAAAATCTGCTGTGTAGGGTCCCGCTCCTGGCAGAGTAGTGTGGCTCCAGATTGCCTCCTGGCAACCAATCAAGACAGTGGGTAGTGATGCTTGCAAGGTGCTCAGCATCGGCCAACCAGATTCCCAGAGATTACTGCGGTCCCTGGAACATTGAAGGTCACTTTGTAGTGCTGGACTGCCGAGCAGGTTTACTGTGCTGGATGGTAGAGCCACTGCCTGGTCTTGACAGGGAAAAGACACGCCCCCCCCCCCCCCTCCCCCTCTGTCAGCCTCCAAGTCCCTGCACCAAGAGCGCCAGCATGGCTGTTGCAGGGGAATATATCTGCCTTTCCAGGATGCCCTTTGGTTTTCCTCTCTTCTGGAAAATGTAGTCCTGACAATGCTGATAAATATAGTATCTCTAGGTGATGGGACTACAAGTCCCAAGATTCCATGCTTCTCAGAACACTTCCCACTCTGTCAGGAGGAAATTATGTGATTACTGTGCACTGAATACTAGAGGGGTAAAAGGGGAATCTCAGACTGTGCAGCAGATGTCCCAGAATTGCAGAATGATCCAGCTTGAACCTGGCTACATTGTGATAACTTTTTAATTATTTGGCTCCATTTTTCCGACCAGCTCTGGACATCAGCATTCAGGAATAAAACGGTAGTAGATGTGGGATAGTCAGATGAGTCAAAAGAGTCCCGGTGCACCCAGGAAGATTAAATTCTCTCCAATATTTTATTTGATGGTCTGTACAGCCAAAAAATAGTCCTGCATAGAAAGCAGAGCACATGCTATCTCCAGTAGAACATTCTAGCTGTAGTTTTATCTGATGACCTTAGGAAGGCGGGGGGCGGGGGGCTTGTTATCATTTATGTTTGCCTAGGACTACTTAAAATCCATCTCCAGCTTACTGAAGAAATCCTCCCCACTCCCCCTAAAACCCTGAAATCATAGGTCCGTACTCCCCTCCCCAGCAGTGGGTGCGTCTTACTCCTGTACCGAACAGTACTTATTTATTGATGTGTGGGTGCAATTTAGTGTAGTATTACTGTATGTACAGACCCTGAGTCTGGGTTGAGAGGAAGTAGGTTGAATGACAATGGCCATCTTTCGAACAGGGAGACCAGAGACATCCAGTGGCACGGGGGGGGGGGGGGGGGGGGGGAGATGGTAACAGTGGTACTAAAATGGGTATTGCAGTAAAGGCTGGGCTAACAGGGGATAGGCAACTAGGGATAAAGGTTTGTGCCCTATTGTATGGACTCGATCATTTATTAAATATGATATGACTGCGCACGTTTTAAATGGCAAATATTTTATTCCCTAATGCATCAACAAAAATGGGTTCGTTATGGAGAAAAATGTGTGATTGGTGCTGGGACCCTGAAGGTCTCACTAAGATGAACATTGTGTACTTTTGGTATTATAAGGGATGTAATATATATATATATATATATATATATATATTTTTTTTTTTTTTTTTTTTTTTTTACTTTTTCTGATTGCTGTTTTTTCCCCCACATAAAAAAGTGTGAAGGTGTCTGCGGTAAGCCTACCCTTCCCTCCTCTTTACATGAACTTGAACTTGAAAGTGACCGAACCACCTTGAGACATGTGGTGTGGCATCTGCTCATTGCTGTGCTGGCCACCACCACACTTATGGCCAAGGGCAGTCAAATCATGCCTGCATGTTTGACCACTGTCATATATTGATAATACAAATTATTTGATGGAAGCTTCACTCTCACTTTGGCACTAAACCTGGAACAATAGATAAAATTATAAAACGTATGTTATCCCAACATTTCATTTTCCTGATATGTGTCTGTTGTACCATATACCTGTATGAAAATGTATTCTGTTTTCTTTGAATTGCTTTCCTTTGTGTGAAATACCTGATGTTTCTGCCAATTCCCCCTATTTCAAACTGACCACGCTAGGCATGAGTGCACATTCATTCCAGCGTGGTTAGTTTTCTGCTTTGCATTCTACTTAGTAGCACAGCCTGCCTGTACTTCAGTGGCCAGACTTGTGCTGACACACATTTCTGTAGAGCTCTTCACTGGGAAGATCAGTGTACTGCTGTTTATCTAGCTCCTTCAGCAGTCCTACCTCTCTGAGTTCCTTAAGCAGCTGAGAACAAGTCATGTTCATGTGATCATTTCAAAAATAGGTATTCATATCTCTATATAATGTTTTCCCTGGCATTTCTGTTTTAAACTGAATGGGTTGTTTTACAAGGTAAGGGTTCGCACAAACCGTAATTTATAAATACTTGTTTAATGTGTCTTTCTAGGTGAAATGCAATGAACAGCCTAACCGTGTGGAGATTTATGAGAAGACGGTGGAGGTTCTAGAACCAGAAGTCACAAAACTGATGAAGTTTATGTACTTCCAGGTAAATTGTGCGTTCCTTATCTTTGTCCTTTCTGGGAATTGCTACACCAGTGGTTTATCTAAATCAGATGTAAACCCTAACTGGATGACAGTTTGCTGTGTATCATAAACAACTGCCATTTTTTTTCTTACATGCACTTGTAGCCTTTTGTACATCATATGTTACATTTCAGTGCTGGTAATCTCATGCAGCCTCTTAACAACCACTTCTTATGTACTGCACTACAGCGATGGCTGCCTGTCTGCATATCTCAGGGAGGGTTGCCTGATGGTGACAACAATGTCTGCATAACGTATTTAAAAGCAGTCACTTGCAGTCTCCATTGGAAACCGATATAACAGGGTGACAACACAGAAGCAGAATTAGGAGAAAGGTACAGAGCGTTGCTACAGTATAACAGTGCCTGAAGAAAGACCTCCATAGTAGGATCACCAGGTATTATTTTAATGAGAGCTTCAGATTTGAAAATATTTAAAATGCATAATAAAAATGACAAATAACATGTTAAAGCTTACATGAGATTTTAGTGGTTGGGCTTACATATGCTTTAATAATGCAGTGCATGTCGCATTTCGCACATTGCAGTAACCCATTGTAACCAGATTTCAGTTCAGTTCAGTGCAGTGTTAAAGATGATATTTTTACTGGGATTTTTGACTAAATAAATTACATACTCAAAAAATAATACATACATTTTTAACAGCAGTAAGGTAAGCATTTTAGAGCAAACACTAGGTCAATTAGGCAAGTATGATGGCACAGAACACCACACAGAATGACTGGCAAGAGGCTTTCCTGAAGCACTTTTAGAGAACTGCTTAGTCTGGCTCCCAGAGAAAACAAGATTTTGGAAACTTGAATTGGTAACTTTATGGCTTTGGCATTGTATTGTAGCAAGGTTTTCTGGAAAACAATTGTGGTTCACCAAATGATTTAGCCTTTTTCCTAGTCTGACATTTTAAAATACCGAGGTGGCAACTCGTTCGCCTGATAAAAGTACTTTATTAATAAAGGGTACAGTGTGCATGTTACAGCAACTTATGTGTTTCGGTAAAAAAAAAAAACCTTATTCATTGGCTATGAATAAGGTTTTTTCTGAAATGCGTATGCTGCTGTAACTTGAACACTGTACCCTTAATTAATTAAGTACTTTTATTGGGAGAAAAAGTTGCTGGCTTCACGCTATACTCTCATACTTAATAGAGAGCCTGTGTTTGGTCAGCAAAATCCGGAAAAAACTATATACCTAAATTGGGTGCTCCTAAATAGTTAACAGGTAAAGTTATATATGTGAAAAATATAATTCTGTTCATATTCTTTTTTTTTTTTAATATTCCATCCACTTTAGTTTGCTTTTAAGCACAACTGAAGTCATGAAATTGATATGCAGTCAGACATTTTACTAACAACATCCATTTTCATAGTCTTTGCTCCTCTTTCCCATTACAGCAGTTGTACCGGATGTCTATATATGACTTTGCAGATCAATTGGCAGCAGACCCAGTGCACTCACTAATGTATCAGTCCTGGTCTGACGCACCCCCACCCCTTTTCTCTGCAATACCAGTCTGGATGCTTATTTTGAGGGGTGTTGCTATTACTCAGCTCTGGCAGCACAGAGCACTGAATGAGGAAGTGTCTGTATACTGTATGTCTATATATGACTTTGCAGATCAATTGGCAGCAGACCCAGTTCACTCACCAATGTATCAGTCCTGGTCTGACACCCTCCCCCCCCCCCCCAACCTCTTTTCTGTGCAACACAAGTCTATAGGAGGATGCTAATTTTGAGGGGTGTGGCTATTACTCTGCTATGGCAGCACAGAGCACTGAATTAGGAAGGAAGGAAGCAGCATTTCTACTACTATAGCAAGGTATTGAGAGAAAAGTCAAAATCAGTCAACAGTCATAACATGTAGATGTAAAGGACCATCCATTCTGAATATAAATATACTTTACAAACCACCTCTGCTTCTGAGAACAATGTACTAGCTCTCAACTATAATCACTTTCAGCGAAAAGCCATAGAGAGGTTCTGCAATGAGGTGAAGCGCCTCTGTCATGCTGAGCGCAGGAAGGATTTTGTGTCGGAAGCCTACTTGCTCACCCTGGGGAAGTTCATCAACATGTTTGCTGTACTGGATGAGCTAAAAAACATGAAGTGCAGCGTGAAGAACGACCACTCTGCTTATAAACGGTAAGGAATCCTGATAGTACCAGTTGTCATGAGCATTTTGTCAGTTGCTTTGTTCTTCTGTCCCAGCCTCAAGATGTATACAATGCCTTGAAAAAGTATTCATACCCCTTGAAATTTTCCACATTTTGTCATGTTACAACCAAAAAGATTTGTGGTTGTAGCATTACAAAATGTGGAAAATTTCAAGGGTTATGAATACTTTTTCAAGGCGTTGTAAGTTGTGGAGAGCAAGAAAACATTTCAATTGGCTGAATAATAAGTATAATTATCCCTTACCATTGGGTCTGCTGTAATGCTGGCCACAAACTCAGCACTGTTAAACTAAAGGCAATTTTTAAAAACTTTTTGGATAGAGTGGAGAAGGTTTTATTGCTTTCTGTATCCCCATTGGGGAGAGTCACCTTTTCTATTTGTTATGTTTCATGTTACCACCGAAAGTGAAAAATCCCAATTCAAATCCCATGCTCTCACATTGGATGGATTTCCTCTCACTTCCTGTTTTGGCTATGGGATAGAAAGTGGTGGTAAATCTCCCCAATGGGATACCGAAGGAAAAACCCTAACAAAGGTTAATAACCCTTCCCTAACGCTGACCAAAATGAAAAAAATAAAAAGGTTTTTGGTGAAGTCTCCTTGTCATGGACAAATTTCATGTACAGCAGTAAAGCTCTGGACGGGGATAAGTTCGTGCCTTTAACAGTTCGTGTTTAGGCGATGCAATGTGGGTGCCATATGTGCACAAAGATAGTAGAAGATAGATGCACTGGAGGATACAAGAAGCATATGTAGATATCCCCCAATGCCTTTCATACACACAGTTAACATTTTACTGGTTGTCTTACCTGATTGGGCTTCTACCCAAGACTTTAGTTTTGGATAGGAGGGAGAAAGAATAAAATATCTGTCAGTTTTGTATTAATGTATTTGCCCAATTGCGGAAAATTCTCTCTGACTTCCTGTCCAAGGTGGCAGTGGACATTTGGCTAGGAAGAAAGGGAAATCTCTACATGGAAACCCAGGCAGCAACAAAACTAATAACACAGGCCAATACGTAATTTGGTGGCTTGAATGTTAGACCTGTTCCTTAGTATATTTGGCCCGCTGGTTCCAAAAATGGCACTGATTTTTCTCTATCAGCTCTAGTTTTTGAGATACAGCCTAAATGCCATATACCACTTTTCACTTTGTTTGCCTGTCAAAATCAGGATATTTTAATGTTTTGTTTTATTGTCACCCGGTAGTATGAAAGAAACACAAAAAAGTAGCCATTACCTTTATGGTGCTCGATCTGCAAAAATGAAACAATATGAGTGTCAATATACACACACCTTCTATACAATCAAAACTGTAATAATTTAATAAGTTTACAACTTACACTTTAGAATCCAATGTTTCCAATATAAATATACAGTTGGACGTAAATAAAACACTGTCACTAATCTGCCAGCTTGAACACGAAAACACAAACTAGGTAACAAAAGAATACAAAAAATGCCCACTGCCCCAGTCTATAACTGGCCTTCACAGCAAGGAGGACATGGAAGGGCGACGCATGTCAAACAACAAAAGAGAAAAATTCCTGGCTCAGCTTGCCAACCAGCCTGCAAACAAACCGAATTATCCTGTCTAACAGTATGCGTTAAAAACAGGAGTTTAGTTAGCACACATTTGCAAATACACGTGCAAGCTACAGAACCTCGTCACGGCACCCCGATATTCTGTAGTTCCTAACTCTACAAATTTTGAGAGCCCCCATAGTAGAGGCACATGTATTTAATAGATAAACCAAGGCAGGTGGACCTGAGGGAGCCCACCCTTCCTTTAAAGGTGTAGGTAACAGAAGAACAAGTTGATCAAAAAGATCTTTTCAAAAACTGACTTAAAAATTACATAAATTTGATCGTATCTAAGAAACTAGAGCTGATGCAGTGTGGCTAATGCAGTGTTTCTCAACTCCAGTCCTCATGGACCCCCAACAGGTCATGTTTTCAGGATTTCCCTCAGATGAAACAGCTGTAATAATTACTAAGGCAGTGAAACTGACCAAATCACCTGTGCAAAATAATGGAAATCCTGAAAACATGACCTGTTGGGGGTCCATGAGGACTGGAGTTGAGAAACACTGGGCTAATGTAATTTTCTGAATCAGCGCCCCAAATAACCCCAAGAACAAGTCTAAAAAAGCAAGGCATTAAGAAATAAACATTCTTTTTTGTTGGTCTGTGAATCAAAAACAGCTTGATGATTTTTCTTTTTTTTTATTTCCCCTTGATCATGTTCTTGTCATGACTAGTCACCGGGATGTGATGTCTTCTGAACCTTCCTCGCTCTGCTAAAAATATATCCAATGGTTATGCAAAATTACTTTTGATGTTTATATTTGCAGAGGGTGCTGATAGGCCTTAGTTGTGTATTGTTTATGTATATTTTATTGCAGCGCTGCTCAGTTTCTGCGGAAGATGGCAGACCCTCAGTCTATACAAGAGTCACAGAATCTCTCTATGTTTCTTGCCAATCACAACAGGATCACTCAGGTAAGAGCAATTTTTGCATTGCTGTTCAGTGATGAAATCAATACATCTTTTAAAGTGGTACTAAGCAGTCAACTATGCTTGCAGCTGGAAGTTTAGAAATTATACAGGGGACATTTATAATATTATTGTTTGCAGAAAGCAGGACAGTTCCCCCAATCTGATGGTGGTTCCAAAGTATTGTAATCTTTTATTGTAAAATTTACTTAGAATCAACCTAAAACATTTGTAACCCATCTATACTAATTAACGCTGAATGCCAAGCAAACGGCTGAGCACACAGTTGAAATACATACTGTATGTGTGAATTGTCTTACCTTCCAAGGATTTGTAATTCTGTTCAGCCAGTCATATGATGCAGTCACTCTTACCCGAAAGCATAGTCATGTCCTGGATCTTCCTGCAGACTACACTAAAGTTAAGCAATACAGCCTAGTCCAGTACCCACCCCAGTTTGTGATTGGATAGAAAAGTAGCAGCGGCACATTGTTGAGGTCAGCTGTGTGATCTTTTATATGCGTCTTCCTGATAAATTTGTTCAATGTAATTGAGACTTGATTTGCTGAGCATGCTGCCTCTCCCTCTCAGACTGCTGCTGTGCAGCAGAATACTGGAGGCTGGTGTCAAGAGACAGTTCAGATACCTACAGTGGCGAGAAAAAAGTATGTGAACCTCTTGGAATTAACTGATTTTCTGCAGTAATTTGCCATAAAATGTGATTTGTATCCCTTTCAAGCTATATGCAAATCACCTACTCTTGATCACATGTCTTCAGAGAGCTTCTTTTTGCGAGGCATGGTTCACATTAGCTGATGCTTCTTATGAACAGCAATCTTAAAATGTCTGAGTGTCTTTTATCAAAGTAGCTCTAAGCCACTCCAAACTCATCATCAATTGAATCCCAGGTATGCAAACTACTTACTCCAATTAGCTTTCGTTGAAGTGGTCTATGGGTTTACTTACTTTTTTCTCCAACACTGTGTCTGTGGGTTCACGTACTTTTTCCATCAGTGCTGTGAACGTTTAATGGGTCTGTTTAATAAAGACATGAGAAATTAGAATTGTTTGTGTGTTTTCAGCTTAAGCACATTGTGTTTGTCTATTGTTGTGACTTAGATGAAAATCGGATCACATTTTATAGCAAATTACTGCAGAAAACCAGCTAATTCCAATGTGTTCACAAATTTTTTCTTTCCACTGTATACTACTGTTGGGAAAAAATAAATATGATTTTTGTTTTTAGAGCTTATGTGTACAGACATTTGCTTGACTCAAAATTGCTTTACTTCCCATTTAAGTAAATGGGAATTTGAATGCAACTCCCAGATGTAACTTTGAAGCATCTCAGGCTTAAAATGTATGAATATTCAAAATTTGGGAAATCCAAAATGTTACAGTACAGGAGGTGTGGGGAAATCTTCCAGTGGGAAAGGTTCTCTTTTAAAGAGATTTCCTTCTGCCTCACTCACTTCCTGTTGTGTCTTCAGGACAGGATGTGAGTAAATCTCCCCAATGGGATGTACATGACAACAAACCTGCCAGAAGTTTTAACCTTTTCATACTTCAAAACTAAAAAAAACAAATTTGGCTCTTGATAATGCAAATGAAGGCATGCTATGTTTGCCTGTCTACATAAGCCCTAAATGAAAACCTATCTGGTTTTCATAGTTTATTTGATATCCTCTTTAACCGCTTCCCATCCACCCATTGCCTATAGACATTGGATGGGAAGCTTTCCCGATGTACCTGTACGTCAGCCTGCATCGGTGGCTCTTGCTCTGCACCTGGGAGCCGGATCACATTATCGTGTTATTGGTATTATACCATGTGGTTGCAATGACCAATCCCAGCAATCACATAGTAAACATTGATAGTGAAAGTATAGATTAGCAACCTGTGAGTGTACAGCAGCCTGTCACAGTGCATGTACACTCACGCGACTGCAGTTCTGGCCACCCCAGTATCCCTGATCACTGGCCATTGTAGTCAATAATAAACCTGAAGCCAGCCCCTGTCACCTGTCCCAGTGCTCACAATAACATGGCCATACACCATACCAATGTCTTGATCACCGCCATACCCCATACCAATGCCCTGATCACCGCCATATGCCATACCAGTACCTTGATCACCGCCATACTTCATACCAGCACCCTGATCACCACCATACTCCATACCAGCGTTCTCATCATCTTCATGCCCCATACCAGCATCCTGATCACCCCATATGCCATACCAGTATCCTGATCACTGCCATACCCCATACCGGCGCGCTGTTCACCACAATACCCCATACCAGTGCCCTGATCACTGCCATACCCCATACCAGCGTCCTGATCACCACTGTACCCCATACGAGTGCCCTAAGCACCTCCATATGCCACACCAGCACCCTGATCACCGCCATACTCCATAACAGCACCCTGATCACTGCCATACCCCATGACAGCACCCTGATCATCATCATACTCCATACCAGTGCCCCAATCATCTCCATGCCCCATACCAGCATCCTGATCACCCCATATGCCATACCAGCATCCTAATCACCTCATATGCCATACCAGCGTTCTGATCACTGCCATACCCCATACCAGTGTTCTAATCACCACCATACCCCATAATGGCGCCTTGATCGCTGCCAATTCCCATACCAGTGCCCTGATCACCGCCATATGTCATACCAACGCTCTGATCACCGCCATATACCATACCAGTACCCTGATCACCGCCATACTCCATACCAGCACCGTGCTCACCACAATAATCCATAATAGAGTCCTGATCATCTCCATGTCCCATACCAGCATTCTGATCACCCTGTATGCCATACCAGTATCCTGATCACTGCCATACCCCATACCAGCGCCCTGATCACCTCCATACCCCATACCAACGTCCTAATCACCACCGTACCCCATACCAGTGCCCTGATCACCACTATATGCCATACAAGCACCCTGATCACTGCCATACTCCATGCCAGCACCCTGATCACCGCCATACTCCATAAGAGCACCTTGATCATCATCATACTCCATACCAGCACCTTGATCACCGCCATACTCCATGCCAGCACCCTGATCACCGCCATACCCCATAAGATCACCCTGATCATCATCATACTCCATACCAGTGCCCCGATCATCTCCATGCCCCTTACCAGCATCCTGAGCACCTCATATGCCATACCAGCATCCTAATCACCCCATATGCCATACCAGCGCCCTGATCACTGCCATACCCCATACCAGTGCCCTGATCACCACCACACCCCATACCAGTGTTCTAATCACCACCATACCAGCGCCCTGATCACTGCCATATCCCATAGCAGCATCCTGATTACCGCCATATGCCATACCATCACCCTGATCACCACCATACTCCATACCAGAGTACTGATCATCTCCATGTCCCCTACCAGCATCCTGATCACCCCATATGCCATACCAGTGCCCTGATCACCGCCATATGCCATACCAGCACCCTGATCACCGCCATACTCCATGCCAGCACCCTGATCATCGCCATACCCCATACCAGAGCCCTGATCATCTCCATGCCCCATACAAGCATCCTGATCACCCCATACACCATACCTGTGTCCTAATCACCCCATATACCATACCAACGTCCTTATCACCGCCATACCCCATACCAGTGTTCTGATCACCGGCATACCCCATACCAGTGTTCTGATTACAGCCATACCCCATACCAGTGTTCTGATCACCATATCCCATACCAGCATTTTAATTACCCCATATGCCATAGCAGCATCCTGATCACTGCTATACCCCATATCAATGACTCGACCACCACCATACTCCATACCAGTGTTCTGTTCACCACCATACCTCATGCTAATGTCCTGGTCCCTGCCACACTCCGTACCAGTGTCCTGATCACTGCCATATGTCATACCAGCTAGGGTCTCAACTGATCAATTTTCAAATATATATATCCCATAATTTGTAGACTATAGCTTTCACATAGACACTAAATAATCTACACTGATTTGGGTTATTTTTATCCAAAAAATGCAGTAGAATACATTTTGGCATAAAATTTATTAAGCAAAATTGTAAGAAAAACTAAGCAAAAAACATTTTTTATTAAACAATTTCGGTATTTTTTTCATTTATATAGCAGAAAATAAAAAACGCACTGGTGATCAAATGCAACCAAAATAAAACTCTGTCTCAAAAAAATGATAACAAATTTCATATGGGTACAGTGCTGCATGACAGTGTTTACATGCAATGAATATACATCCCTGAATCCTGCCGTTGACTGGAGGACAGGTGGAAAGAGGAGCCCAGATTTAGATCTTATTCCATTCAAGCGTATCTTGACTCTCTGGTTTAAGGGTCAACACCAGCTGGTGAGTGTGGGAACACAGGAGGGGAGCACACCACTGTTGTTCCTGCACTGTCATAAGTATTGCACTATTGCACTTTATTCCAAAGACTGCACTTATTTTACTTTATTGGATTTTTGAGCAAATGAACTGAATATTATATGTTATACAGTATATTACTTAACAAGATACATGTGTTGAGGGAAACGCTGTTAATATATAAAATTGTTTAATTCAGACTTTTGTTCTACAAATATTGTCCCATTCAGTTTTGTAGCTTTTTTCTTAAAGGCAGAACTGACAGTTCCTGTTTCAGGCATGCTGATTGGTTTGACCTTCTGTACTCAGAATACTTAGATGTCTGTCTTAGACTGGTAGACTAGTAGCAAGCAGCTAGTACAACATTGCACTCATTTATTTCATGATTTGGTCTTGTCCTTGTAGTGCCTGCACCAGCAGCTGGAGGTGATTCCTGGCTACGAGGAGCTGCTGGCCGACATTGTCAACATCTGTGTGGATTACTATGAGAATAAAATGTATTTGACTCCAAGTGAAAAGCACATGCTGCTAAAGGTAACCCTTACAGTGGAAAATTCGCCTTTGAGGAGCACAAACAATCGAGTAATATCCTTCATACTTTTTTTTTACTACTTGGTACTGCTGGGACCTTGAAGGGGACATACCCTGAAAGCTTGTCCTGAAAAATAGTATGTTAGTGCAAATAAAAAAATATCACAGACAGTACTCAATTTTTAATGTCGCAAGTGCACTACTACGGCTACAATCACCTCTTCTGAGGAGATAAAGCTGGCCAGCTTAATGTGAATCTGCTTTTCCAAAGCAGGGCAAAGCAACAGGTTCACTTTAATGCAGACCTCCACAAACGCACATACTAGTCTTCCTTTTGCTCCCCTGCTGTTCTATTCAGCTGGCAGAGTGAAAGAACATCCATGTGTAAGCTAGAAGTTGCTGGAGTCGTAGCTTTTATGGGGCTATGATCTACCTATGTGACAGTGCTAATTGGTCTATTGCTATCACAATGGAGTTACATGCTTCTCTTTACCTGGAAGTCCAGGGAATTTTCTTCAACTTCTGGCTCTGGACGGAGCATTAGGTGAGCAAAGGAAAGGTTTGTATACTCTCTGCTGCTGAAGGGCAGCTTGCCCCTGAATGGGTAAAAACACAGGTTTAATTTAAAGTGCAACTCCTCTTTTGTAAAGTTTAAAACAACCCTCTTCATTTCAGTTACACTGAATTAGCACAAGGGACCCATCCTACTGACTGTAAGTTATGTTCCTTGTTTTGATTTTTCTGTTGTTTTTTTGGTTTATTTTGGCTACATTTAGGTTTTAAATGCAAACTTATAAAAATAAAAGAGATGTCCTAATTTAAAATTAGGAATTTAAATCCTAACCTAGCTACACTTTTGAACTATACTGGTAATGGCCAAGTGGGGTATCAAGTCATTAGCATATAAAAAGAGCATTGTTGTTTATGCTATGAAGTGTAGAGCAGGGAAGCTATGGCTCCAACTCTTCTAGGAGGAAATAATAGTGGTTGGAAGGTTTTGCTGCTCTCCTGAGGTTTCTTAGCTGGTTGTGTCTGGAGGTACTCTTGGACTTAACAAGTTAGCAGGATCAGGCAATGAATGTCTGCCTGTGGACACTGTTTATACGGAAAACAAAACGCATTGTACCCAGTAAGATTTCACTTTTCATTGGTCTAGAGTTCTCAGGGCTGTGAAAGATGTTTTTTAATAGATGCTTTGAGTCCCCCTCCCCCCCTTATGCAGGACTTTAAAATAGACCTATATGTATGTGGGGGGTAACAAGGACACTTTGGAGCTACACTTTACATGGAAAAAGATCATGCAAACATGCATTGTGCACAAAACAATTCTCTTTCTCATTTGCAGGTGATGGGCTTCGGCTTGTATCTGATGGATGGAAATGTCAGCAATATTTACAAACTTGATGCTAAAAAACGGATAAACCTAAGCAAAATCGACAAATTCTTTAAGGTGATGTCTGGGAATCACCAATATTTTGTTTGAGATTTCCTTTGTAACTTCATGCCATTTCAGTTTGTGATTATTTCGTGGGATACAATCAAATTCATTCTTAAAATAATCCAATCACATACCTGTCCAATTTAGCTTATGATGAAGAAAATGCAGAAGTTACCTTCAATGAAAAACGCATTTCAAAATGGTCAGTAGACCCAGAGGTACAGGTGGCTGAATTTATATGTAAAAATGACTTTACTGTAAGGTGGAGATTGGCACAGCTCATTTCACCTCCCAAGCCTCCCATTGGACACCATAGTAAGGTGCATCTTTATTGACCAATGATAAGACACAGGAGGTGGAGGGGTGGGGCACACCTTAATCTTTACAAGAAAAGAGTGTATAGCTTCAGCTGCATAAATTCCTAGATCTAGTAATCATTATGCTATATGGTTTTTACCAGGGGTGGACTGGCAACTCATGGGGCCCCCGGGCAATAGGGGATCATGGGGCCCCTGTGTCCTTGCCCAAGCTCAAAAAAGCCTATGAAAAAGGTACCAGGGGCATCTCATGGGGCCCCCTACTGACCCTGGGCCCTCGGGCAGTGCCCGAGTTTCCAAATGGTCAGTCCGCCCCTGTTTTTTACTAAAGGTAATCTCTGCTTACGTATGTGACAGTCGCCAGCAATCTGCAACAAAAATAGTAGATATTTATTTCAAGCTGCATTATAGCATATAAGCTTTGGAGGTGTGAACCATGTCAGCCAATAAAAATGTAGTTTTAATTTTTCAGTGCAGGTTAGAAAATTATATAGATATCAATAAACCAGAAAACCATTCTTTATATTTTCATAAGAGGCAACCTGTCATTTAAAGAATGTAAGAAATTAAAGTGCCCTTACTGCCTGTAGCAGTCAGTCACAAGATAGCTGTCATACACCTAGTTCAGTATACAAAACAAGACAGCTGGATGCAATGGACAACATTTACAACAAAACATTTATTTCCATCATTTTGTAGAAATCTGCCCACCATATTATATCAAACTTTGAAAAAAAGGTAAAGTATAGGTGATTCTCACATTGACCATTTTCTTGGTTAAGTTAGAAATAACAGCAGTTTTGAAAGATAAAACACAATGGAGTTGATTTACTAAAGGCAAATAGACTGCAAGTGCAGTTGCACTTATTTTCCCCAACGCTTAGTAAATGCAATAAAGCTCTGCTGATTTCCATCATCCAGTCATGTGCAAGCAAAATGCTTTTTTTTAAATTTGCCTTGCACATGATTGGGTATTGTTTACAAAGTAAAGTTTTACCACACTGACATTTACTAAGAAAAAAGAGTGCAACTGTACTTGCAACGTGCATAGTCTATTTGCCTTTAGTAAATCCAACCCAATGCCTCTTATGTATGAACATTCAGAGTCTTGCTTCGAGAATTTCACCCATAGTGCAACTCCAGTTCTGTTGATATCAGTGAACAACACTTAAAGAGGAGCTCCACCCAAAAGGGGAAGTTCCGCTTTAAGCCTTTGTCCCCCGCTTCCCATTATGGATTGGCACCTTTGAGGAGTTGGGGGGAAAATTTGATAGGTATCCGCTCCCACTTCTGTGGCAATCGCCTAGGCAATTGGAGGCGGAAATTGTCCTCTCTCCCCGTAGTCTTCTGGGACACATGACAGGTCCCAGAAGACTACGGGGCCATTCACAAAGTGCAGTGCTTCTTGCGCATGCGCAGTGGGCACCCGCCTGTGAACCCGCAAGCTGTTACAGCCGGGTGCCCACACTGAAGATGCCGGTGCCAGGGAGAGAAGACGGCCGGGGAAACCAGCGGTGGTGAAGACACCGCTGGACCGAGGGACAGGTAAGTGGCTGTATTTTAAAAGTCAGCAGTTACAGTTATTGTAGCTGCTGACTTTTTTTTTTTTTTTTTTTTTGTCTTTAGGTAGAACTTGCATGCTTTATTAAAAGATACAGTACTAGGGCCTTTCTTGAAGTCCTATCTCCTTTTTGATGATTTGTGATGAGTGGAGGAGAACAGACCACGGTGACAAATACATTGGTAGAGTGGAGATGTTTGTTATGAGTTATCTATAAAACCTTTGCATGTAAAGCATGTCTAAACCCAAAAACAAACATTTAATAGTTCTGGCTTTATAGTGTGCTTTGAGTGGTTAAATAGATGTAGTAGGTAGTTCATTTTCAGTCCTTGGCTGCTGTTGAGCATCATTTAAAGCCACTAACTTGAATTAAAGAAGTCTCACAAGCGATCAAAAACATAAATGCTGGTCTATTGATTCATGTACTTATCTCTTCTTGTAAAAAAAAAAGCCAAATGATTGTGCTTTAAATCACTTCTTTATTTTTGCCATTACTCTGTATCATCTTCTCCCCTGATGGAAACCCGATTTGTGGTTGTTCACATTGTGGAGCTCAGACAGAGCTCAATTTACATCTCCCCTTGCTCTGTGAGTACACATGTTGGCCATGCTCTTTCAGTGAGGCAAACAAAGCCAACCACAGCACACATGAAATTTATACATAGAATTAAGAAATATTTAGATATTTATTGACTGACATGCCCTCTCCCCCTGCATGAGTGGTGATGGGTCCTTGTCTTAGCCAAGGGCATGATGCTAGAGACAAGTGCTCTCAAAACCAATTAGGGAGTTGTCTCCTACTGAGCAGTATGGACAAACAGCCGTGGGTGGAGGGGTGGCATGCTGTTGAACAAGCTAGCTCAGCATCCACTGCACCTATCAAAATGGGACAAAATTTGATATTCGCTTTATCCCCAAGGAACAGAAGGAACTAAATATTTGTTTGGTGAGACCTCTTCTTTAAGTGTTGCATACTAATGTTGGACTGCTCTCTTGGTACTAGAGTTCTGGATGGCAAGACTTGATATTCTTATACGTGAGGGCCTATGTGCTTTATGAATGGTGCCCTAGTGTGTTTATGTACAGACATCCCTGTGCAGTGTTTCTATGTGTTCTAAGTGTGCAGTCCGTCTGTTTTCTCTTTTACAGCAGCTGCAGGTGGTACCTCTCTTTGGAGACATGCAGATAGAGCTGGCCAGATACATTAAGACCAGTGCTCACTATGAGGAGAACAAGTCAAAGTGAGTGCATGCCGTAATGTCTCTTGGCAGTAGTGGAGAGATAGGATGAAGGGTGGTCTCAGTGGAACTTGATGGGACATACTTTATGACCAATAAACCACAGCAATAAGCAGCTTGTGGTTGTAAAATTCTTATATTGTGATTTGGGCTTTTGCTGCCATAAGCTGTTTAGTGCTGCCATAAGGCAGTAGAGCTGATTATTAAAGGGTGACGGCACCTAAAAGTGATATTTTAGGTATAGGTGTTGCTTGGTTAGCTGAGTCAGTTTGTAGCTTTTTATATGTTTTTGATACCCCAACAGTGAGATTTCTTTGCTGCTGTTCTGAAATCTGTTCCTGACCTCCTGATAGTTTCGGGAAATTCCTGCCCACCTTTGTGTGTTACATTGTGTTCTTTTGAGGTCTAAATAACGTAACGCAGGAAAAAACAGATTGGCCATAGCAAGTGTGTGGACACAAGAACGCAGCACAGAGATCTCATCAAGAGAGTGTCAGAGAGTTATAAGAAGTTATTAGGTGGCCTAACTCTCCAGCATGTACCAATCATTAAGGACACGTTCACACCACAGTGCAGAGACGTCAGGTTTTCTTCCTGAGTTCTGCAATGGCGCAACAAAATCAATTGTTCTCTATGTGCCATGTTCACGCCATTTTTTCTGCGCAGGAATCTGCAATATGTATAAAACTCATTGACGTGCACATGAAAACTGATGTAAACTGATGTCTTTGTAAGTGAAATCTGAGCTCTCAGTTTTCATAAGTTTTTCTGCACATATGGTGTGAACGAGGCCTAAAAATATCACTTTTGGGTGGCCTGACCCTTTCAAAATTGGAGTAAGGATAACTGGAGCCCTTACCCACTGATAGTGTAAATGATACTTGTGCTAAAGAAGTATGGAGGCTGCCACTGATGCCCTCTCTTTCTGAAAATGTTAGTTGCCTGGCAGTCATTCTGATCCAATGGGTCCAGTACTTTTTTAGTCACTGAAAAAAGCATACAGGGGTTATGACTTTTCTGATCGACATGTTTGTTCCAGGTCAGTAACTATGAAATTACTGAAGCCGCTAGATGCGTAAGGCAGTCAAACAATTAGCATTTTCAGAAGAAGGTCAGTCATCAGAAGGTCACCAATAGATGGATATATATTTTTGTCAGTGAAGGTTTCTCAATAGCATGCTTGCAATGGAAACTGCTGTTCTTTGGCCACCCTGGACTGCATTATAGTTTCAGGGCAGTAAAGCTGAACTTGTTCAGCTTCACTGCAAGTCAGAGAATGGAAGCTTCCATGTAAGGCTTCTCAAACTGTTATGTTAACTTTGTGTTGACTTTTTTTTTGTTACAGTGACATTTTTCTTGAACAAGTGATGTAAAACGTCATGTATCACAGTCAGAACTAAGACATGAAACAATTTTCCAACAGCAAATCATATTCAAATTTTCAGATCAAGTTTTAATTTAATTGGTGTCTGTGAGGAAATATTTTCAGTTCTTAGTGCTGACATTTGCATTCATTACGTTTACTGTTCAATTTGCAACACCAACAGTCACACCAACTTTCCATCAGTTTAAAGCAAGTAGAAAAATGAATGATGATTAAAGGTTTGGTTGGTGTTGATCATTGTGCTTTACATATTGTTCTTTACCTAGTTACAGACAGCTATACGATCAGACTTTTACATACACAAGGCTGTAATACGCTCTGTTCCTTTCTGTAAAATTTTAAGGAAAATGAGCACTTCTCTAAAACCCATCTAACCCTGGAGCCCAGCAAAGAGGCTAGGAAGCAGCAGACACTAGCAAGACAAGTTCCAAATGTAGACAGTTATTTCTTAAAGGTTAATTTCCCCTTGTATTAACATTTCTGGGATAAGTAAAATTCAGTGTCCTAAAGGGAACACTACAGTTTTGTGCTGAGATCCATCACGTTTCTACAATTGCATCATTAAGCTGACAATACCCATCGCAGTCTGATTATATGAAGTGTGACAATTTAATTCTGAGAATTCCCGCAGCATAGCACCATCATTTTGAGTCACATGCTCAAGTGTGTTTTGACATGTTCTAACTTGCGTTCGCCTGCGTCGCATGTGTGCTGGTGGTGGTGAACGTTCCTTGTGACTGTAAGTCCACCAGGTTCTTGGGCTACGCAAGGCAGTGTGGACAGGACCTACTGTGCCCGTGCACTAGAGGTGCCTTTGCCCGAGGGCACGCTCACCAATGCCTTGGACCAGGTGGGAATTGCAGTCATGATAACAGTCTAACATTAAGGAAATCTCCTGACTTAGAGATGAGTTGACACTGTATGTAGTATGATGCCAAGTTCCTTTATGAGTGTTGTCCCATAGCTCTGCACGCAGTGATTTGTTTATGTTGCATTCAGAGTAGCGAGCCAAGCCACGCACCTCCACTAGCTAGCGTACCTCTGCTATCTCACTCCCAATAACAGAATAGAATCCTGCTGGACACATAATGTGGATCTCATGCTTGTCCTTTATTAAATCTTCCTCTCCAGTACCACACAGTTAGGTTGAGGGCCTTCATGGCGCTGGTCCGCTCCCAGTTGCTATCGGAGATAACCTGCTAGGGAGGGAGCCTGAATAGTGATCTCCTCTCTACCAGAGAATACCCCACTTCACCAAGGTACCACGCCTCAACTGGTTGCCTTGTGTCTTCGGTGTGGACTTAGTTACCCTTAGTAACAACCTTGCTCTTGCTTGGTATATTCACTTGACACTGTTGTGTTGTGTACTTCATACTCTTCTAGTGCCTTACAGGCCAAGAGTACTTTAGCGTATCTGCAATTTGACACTCTTGCATCCCTTTAGTAACTTCAGACCAGGCTCAACACAGTTGATAAGATGAAAGTCTTGCAGAGTAACATAATAAAGTGCAAACGAAGTCCAGAACATCCTAACCCTGACTAAATGTCTGTATGTGGCTGCCCAGGCATACCTTAGAAAGGAGAAAGTATATTCACTGGTGAAGTCCATACTTGGCAATGCTCCAGTCTCTTGTGGGATCACAAGCTGCAGCAGCTTTCCATGCAGGCTCCCTCTCCCTTCAGGCAGGTGATTGCTGGCTGTAAAGAGTTACATCTTCTTCTGTGTGCCTCTTGCTTCTTCCCATGTAGCAGAACTCATCTAGACATGATACAGGAAAGAGGCAAAGCCCTGCAAAAAGCCAGTGAGTCAGCAGAGATAGTATTAACCCTTCCCTAACCCAGGCAGACTAACTGGCCAGCTAGCATGATACATTCTCCTTGAGGGCAGTTGATTTCAGCCTGCCTACAGGCAGATCAGTTAACTCACTCTTTATGGTGTAGTTGAAGAAACAACACGTGTGTGTGTTGCACTGTTGGTCGAGAATGAGTGACAGGAATCTGGAGCAGCGGATTAACATCAAATTTTGCATGAAAATTGGCAAAAGTGAGAGTGAAACTTTAGTTCTTTTACAACAGGCTTATAGTGAACATCCCATCAAGAAATCAAGTGTTTTAAATGGCATAGCCAGTTTAGGGAGGGAGAGGTGAGAAAATGTCCATGATGAAAAGGTTATGGGAATCTATTCAGTGGAAAAGACCGGAACTCTGGCCTGAAAAGTGTATCTTCCACCACGACAATGCTCCTGCACATGATGCATTAAATGTTTGTGAATTCCTGGCCCAGAAATCCATTGCAAAACTTGACCAACCACCTTATTTCCCTGACTTAGCACCCTGCGACTTTTGTCTGTTTCCAAACTTAAAACATGCCTTAAAAGGACATTGATTTGATGACATTCTGGACATCCAGTGGGCCATGACAAAGATACTGCACAGCGTTCTGGAAAACTAATTCCAGGAATGTTTACAGCAGTGGCGCAGTCGTCTAATAAAGTGCATCGCTTCACAAGGGGCCTATTTTGAGGTGACAACAGCCGCTAGTGTATAGGTAAGCAAACATGATTTTTACAGTCCAGTCCTGGAATTAAATTGTCACACCTTGCACAATCTTCTTTAAAGTGACATTCCTTGCGGCTTCTTATATCTGTGACCCAAACCGGACCACGTGCCAACAGGAATAAAAAGTAAAGACTGCACTCACCAGATCTTTTGACTCCAATTAAGGTGGTCAGATGCACTTTTGGTCATATAGGAGACCATCCTCTCACAATGATATCTCCCCTTCAGCAGTTCTCTGCTAATGGCCAATGCTAAGGGATATGGACTCTCAGCTTGCCTCCAATATATGTGATGCTTAATAAGGATAATCCTCCCACGGGAATAGTGACGAACCATTCAAATAAATCAAACAAGTGAAATACCTTCTAAGTGCAGTATTTTACTAGATTATCAAAGAATTGTATAGACAAACGCTATTGCACTCACATGGTAAGGTGCCTAACAACCGGCACCAGTGTTTTCAGCCTGTATAGATCTAAGATGGCTGCCATGCGTTCCACACCTCGTTCTCACTCAAGACACCTACTGGACACTCCTGAAGAAGATGCCACTGGGCGAAGCGTCACAACGTCACTTCCAGAACCGGGAACGTCCAAGCTGAATGAGAACAAGGCATGGATCGCATGGTGGCCATCTTAGATCTATACAGGCTGAAAACACTGGTGCCAGTTTTTAGGCACCTTACCATGTGAGTGCAATAGCATTTGTCTATACAATTCTTTGCTCATCTAGTAAAATACTGCACTTAGAAGGTATTTCACTTGTTTGATTTATTTGAAAGGTTCGTCACTATTGCCGTGGGGGGATTATCCTTATTGAGCATCACATATATTGGAGGCAAGCTGAGAGTCCATATCCCTTAGCATTGGCCATTAGAAGAGAAACTGCTGAAGGGGAGATATCATTGTGAGAGGATGGTCTCCTATATGACCAAAAGTGCATCTGACCACCTTAATTGGGGTCAAAAGATCTGGTGAGTGAGCAGTCTTTACTTTTTATTCCTGTGGGCACGTGGTGAGGGTTCCAGCCATAATTTTTTCCTTTTCCGGTTTGGGTCACAGATATAAGAAGCCACAAGGATTGTCACCTTATTATATGGAATTTTATTTATATGTATTTGATAAATTTGTTTTGACATCTGTATAGATTATGAGAACATAGTTTGCACATTGGGAAGTATATGCAAATTTGGATGGTTCCATTATAGGGGCTTATAGATATATCAGTCCCTCACCAATTGTATAATATTCATTCACTTGTATTTGTATATGTAGCGCCTACCTACTCTATTTACACTGACATTATAGTGATAGTTCACTAAATTAGGGGCAGCTTCCTACTATAAAAACACTTGTCCAAGTTGGCACCTTTATTAATCATTTTTACTAATCATCTTTAACACTACCAATGGTTTTGTAGGGTGAGGGTCTGCCTGTCTGCATATAAGCAAAATGGATCCTTTAAGCCAGCTATACATGGGTCACAATTTGGCTGGTTCAGCATGGACCAGCCAATTGTCGATACATGTATGGGCAGGCTGGTTGTACAGAAGTCAATTGGTACACCCCAGACTATCAGGTTTTTTCCTGATCGATCAGTGCAGCCAGCTATAGCCTGCAGCACTGATCAGTGTAATCTGATGGTGGGGAAGTCTCCCCACTGTCAAAATGCAATAACTCAGCAGGATGTGAATGGGGGAATTGTTTTTTTTTTTTATAGCTCAACCCACTGGTTGAATGAGAGGTTCTCACATTACATAGTTTTGGTAAATCTCTGTACAGAGATTATAAAGTATACAGCCAACTCATCTCTGGTCAGTCTAATTGGTCAATTGTTCAATCAAAAACTGATGGAAATTGGTTGAAATTCTCTGTAAATTCATTGCCATGTGTATGGCTAGCAAAAGACCAACTGCAGTACATAGGAACAAGGCCTTCATTGTCTATGTAAGCTTACTGAAATAAATCATGCAGAAAGTTGGGAGTTTTCAGTGATACACTTTGTTGGATAACTTAAGTTATTAAAGGTGCAAGCTTTTAGGGTGCCTTAGACTCCTTTGCCAGGATTTATAAGTGAATTGTATAAAGCCTGATGAAGGTAACTAAGAAATCATGAAAGCTTGCAAATGTAATACCTTTTATTGTCTAGCTTAAGTTGTCACTTAAACTCCAAACTTTCTGCGTAATTCAATGGCTAACTTGGTACAAGACACCACTGCATCTAAATGAAATCATGAAAGCCTTTGCAGGGTGGTAGCACTGGATGCACTTTGTCATATTATACAACTCCTGGTAAAAAGTATGGAATCACCACTCTTGGAAAATGTTCATCCAATTGTTTAATTGTGTAGAAAACACTAATTACAGATATGCCTCAAAACTACTTTCATTTAACATTCCAACCTTCTAGCTTTAAGAAACACTTAAAAAAAAAAACGAAAAAAAAAAACTGTAGTCAGTTGCAACTGTTTTTGCAGATCAAGCAGAGGAAAAAAATATAGAATCACTCAATTCTGAGGAAAATATTATGGAATCATGATAAAAAAACACTACAGTATACCACTAGTACTTTGTTACCACCTCTGGCTTTTATAACAGCTTGAATCATCTGATGCATGAATTTAACTATCAAAAAACGGTATTCTTCATCAATCCGGCTCCAACTTTCTCTTATTGCAGTTGCCAGAGCAGCTTTGCAGGTTGGAGCCTTGTCATGGACCATTTTCTTTAATTTCCACTATAGATTTTCAATTGGATTGAGGTTCAGACTATTTGCAGGCCATGCCATTGAGAGTATGTGTCTTTCTTGAAGGAAACTTTTCATGGCTTTTGCCCTATGGCAAGATTATTATTATACAGGATTTATATAGCACCAACAGTTTGCTCAGTGCTTTACAATATAACGGGAGACAATACAGCAACAATACAGTTCAATACAAGAGGGATAGGAGGGCCCTGATCCTTGGAGCTTGTGCATTATCATCCTGAAAAATGATGTCATCATCATCACCAAACATCATTTCAATTGATGGAATAAGAAAAGTGACCAAAATCTCAATATAAACTTGTGCATTTATTGAAGATATAATGATCAATGATTGTGGGAATTTGCATATTTTCTTCAGGCAGTCGTCTTTTAACATTTCATTGGAACAGCACCAAACAAAATTTCCATCACCCTGCCCAATGCAGATTCGTGATTCATCACTGAATATCACTTTCATCCAGTCATCCACAGTCCATGATTGCTTTTCTTTTGCCCACTGTAACCTTGTATTTTTCGGTTTATGTTTAGGTGTTAATGATGGTTTTTGTTTGGCTTTTCTGTATTTAAATCCCATTTCCTTTAGGCAATGTCTTACAGTTCAGTCAGACATTGACTCCAGTTTCTGTCCATTTGTTGCTCATTTTTTTTTTGTGCATTTTCTGTTTTCAAGGCATATTGCTTTAAATTTTCTATCTTGACGCTTTGATGTCTTCCTCGGTCTACCAGTACTCTTCCCTTTTACAGCCTTCTCATTTGATTTGCACTTGGTCCAGATTTTAGACACAGTGGGAAAAACCAACATCTTTTGCAATATTCCATGATAATTCACCTTCTTGAAGAACTTTTATAATGCTCTTCTTTGTTCCAACTGACATCTCTGGTGTTGGAGCCATGATTCATGTCAATCAGCTTGGTGCAACAGCTCACCAAGGTGTGCAAGCACTCTTTTTTAACTGCAGACTACTTAGCAGATGTAATCTGATGCAGATGTTTGTTTTAGAACTGCAAAGTACATGGTGATTCCATAATATTTTTTTTTTTTTTTCTACACAATAAAACAATTGAATGAACATTTTCCAAGAGTGGTGATTCCAATACTTTTTGCCAGGGGTTGTATATAACCATGGTCATATGGATATATTTAAATTGCTTTGGAGTTATATGATAAATACCCCTTCATTGGTTCTCATTTGCAGGTTAATATTTAGGATGAATTATTGTATCATTAAATAATGATCTCCTGTCACCTCTTCTATAATACATGATGTGGTTGTTGTTGGACGATATGCTGTAGTGTAGTTGTTATCTAACAAGCCCTCCTAGGCTCTTTCCACATGCCCCTTTGAGGCCCATCCACAGGCTTAAGCAGCTGTTTCCTGCCCAGGTGGACCTGCACACAGAGCAGTATCAGCCCGCAGTACAATATTTGTGAGCAGATGGTACAGATCCGTGATGACCACATCCGCTTCATCTCTGAGCTGGCCCGCTACAGCAACAGTGAGGTAAGAGGTTAACTTCCATCACATGGGGAAAATGATGATCATATCACATTTTTTATGTAGCTTCTGAGTTTTGTATAAATATTACACTGTGAGGTTTGTCAAATTGTCGTATTTCTAGGGATGACAGCAAGCATTTTCTGTGTGGACTGTATGTGAGACTTCATATCATGACTAAGAGTCTTATACAGAGGGATGAATGTGATGCTTTTATAGGGGGTCAATGTCATTTTCTTAAATAACAATATAACAAAACATGCACAAATCTGGTTGTTTGTTTTATTGGTTTCAAATACATATAATAAGACAAAAACAATGTCAGAGTTTCTGTTATTAACAATTCTTGAAAATACTTAATTTTCCCTTGTCCTAGAAAAGTCCTTTAAAGTAGAACTTTAGTCAGAAAATTAGGCCCTGCTAGATCACTTAAGGCTGGCCCCTTTTGCAGGTATAGCTATGTAAAACATTAAACATAAGTGCCTATACTGTTTATATAGTAATATACTGTCTCACTCTGCTCTGCACATGCTCAGTTGCTCTCCATTTTTAGGCTCTGCCGAATTTGTAGAGGCCGATCTGCTGACAATCTAAAGATTAAAGCGGAACTAAAGCTATCACTTTACCAGTTTTAAAAAACAGTTACCTTCTCGGCATACCAGGAATGTAACTGTCACATTTGCTTGTGTTCTCAACCAAGCTGTCAAACCATCAAATGACTGGTGTCATAACTGATCATATGTGCAGCATCATGGCAGTTACAGATCAAACAGATGGCAGCTTTCCTTGGCTGAAAATGAGAGGAAAGTTTAGTTCTGCTTTAACTGCTGTTCAGGGCTTCACCAAAATGGCAGCCTCCAACAAGAAAAAACAGGGACAATGGTGGAGGCAATTTACAGCACACACTCATTTTGGTGGCAGAATTATTAATGTCGCATGTATGTTCCTAGCTAAGGAACATTATTTGTTATCAATTGTTATCAGTAAAGTTCCGCTTTATGCCAGCCATTTTGGATGTACAATCTATAGAAAACCAACAATGTCACTTTTGTGGGAAAATGTCCTATTCTGTCTGGTTTTGTCTTATAAATGGAAGATGTGTGCATTAGTTTTCTGGCAGATCATAGAATCAGCATCCAATGATGCACATGAATGCACAGACCCAGTTAAACAATCCTTAGGGAATTAGCAGGACCATGAATCTCGCAACTTGAATTCTTGATCTGTCCAATTCATAGCAGATCAGGTGCTTGGGCATGCACTACTTTATACAGACAGTTGGACACCAATTGTCTTTGCACTTTCAGATTCTCCAGCTTCCAAGGATACCTTATCTGTATCCATAGTGGTTAATTGATGTCCCTGCCTTCCTGAATGCATCTAGCTTGTTGGTTTCAGGTGACAGTAACAGGTTGCTAATATAGTTGACACCTATACAGAACAGGGGTATCAATATGTGCCTGACAGCAGGAAGCATGCAGGGTGATTAAAATCTGTTGCTTATGTGATGCCATAATGGTTTTGGGTCAGTTTCATTGTACTTTTTATACATTGTTAAACACATTTTTTAAAATCTGTTTTTACTATATTAAATATCATTGCTTTTCGGATAATCATTTTATGCAGACACTGGACTCACAGAGCATATGGTAGAATACAGTAGAATCTGCTTACTTTCATGCTCTCTCTCCCTCTCTCTCAGACTGAAATTTTATTTGTATATATCTGAAAAGACATACAGAGAGGGGGAAAGAGCAGGTTAATCAATTTTCCAAATCATTCATATGTGTATATTTAAATCTTAGCTTGAGCTATTGAGTTCTATGAAATGTTTTTTACTACAGAAGAGCCTGGAAAACATGTCAAAGCAAACTAACATCTCCACCTGTTTGCTGCATATAAAATGTAAAATATGACTTATGTTTTCCGCATGGAATGGGTGGAGGCCTCCCTAAAACAAAGAAACACAGGTTAAGAAACACAAATTATTTGATGTCTGGGAATCTATCATTCAAATCTTGTTTACTGATACCCAACTATTTATAATACATTGTTTTTAATGCACTCACTGGTATTGAACCAGACAATTAACTAATGACCTTCCAATTAACCTTTCACCTCCCACCTAAACTATATCCTATGTATCCTACAGACAGTTGATAAGATGTGGATCAATATATATAAATGTTTCTATAGAGAGGAATGGAGAGCTAGTATGGACATTATGACTCCTCCTGTTTTCCTTCTGTTAGGTTGTAACCGGTTCAGGTCTGGACAGTCAGAAATCGGATGAAGAATATCGAGAACTGTTTGATTTAGCTTTGAGGGGTCTGCAGCTCCTTTCCAAATGGAGTGCCCATGTCATGGAAGTGGTGAGTCACATAGATCAGTGTTCTGTATTTATGTATATGTCTTGTCTTCTGCTGACTTCTGTAGAGAACTCATCACAATAGACTTACACTGATCTTTCTTGTGTCTGTTTTGATATATTATTGGTGGATGCAGTAATGACAGATACATTGGAGATTTCATTTTTGCAAGAATTCGGACACTGGCTAAATGTTTCCATTTTGTATTACAACTAATGAAGGCTAAACTGTTTTTTTTTTAATTTGTCAGGGACTTTAAGGGTTGGGAAAGCCTTTCAACTATCCCGGACCTGCTTTGTGCCAAAAACTGGTCCCTTGAAAGGTTGGGACATAATGTTAAATAGTGAGGAACAGAGGAAACTCATGGCTTTGGTAGGCAAATCATTTTGAGACCATTCAAAATTCATGACCTGCCTTTGGCCTACTTTAGCTGCTTTTGAATTTCCTTAGGCTTGATTTTTTTTCCCATACTAAAAATGCTTGGCATAATCTATGGCCAATTTCGATGCAATTTCAGCAACGGCAAAACCATTAAATCCCTTCACTTATCCCTAATGTATTTTGCACTTACTACAACTTTGAATGCCCAAAAGTATGTGTTTCTCCATTAAAGTGGATGATGTGCATGATACACTAACCAACAGGCTTTTTATTTTAATATAATCAGATTATTTAAAGATGTACCGTATTTCAAATGGGTTTGCTTTTTAAGCATTGCTTTATGTTTAATTATGCCCAATAAAAGTTATGACAACATTTACATAAAGTAACTTTCTTTTTGTCAAATCACATAGTATTCCTGGAAGTTGGTTCATCCTACAGATAAATTCTGTAATAAGGATTGTCCTGGCACAGCAGAGGAGTATGAGAGAGCCACGCGGTACAACTACACCAGTGAAGAGAAATTTGCCTTTGTGGAAGTAAGACAGCCTTTGTTCAAACACCGCATCCAATGATACTCCTAACCAACACTGGGGTTTATTTCATGGTATGAAGAAAGAAGCAGCCACTAAAATATCATCCATAAAGAGATTTTACAGAAACTTGGAAATCCTTTGAATGGGATCCATACATGTAATGGGCTGCTCACCTACCTAGTCCTGCTGTTACTTACAGTAGGTCCGCCTATGCAACTCAACAATTCTCATAGAGAGAATCAATGTCTTATATATGTTTTGGAAATACCCAGTTTGTCCAGTAAATGGAAATGTAAGTGTAACAAAAGCCTGTGATCCTATTAAAACTCAAGCTGTTTTACTGATGAGCTGAGGAACAAAAAAAATCTAAGGACTGTTGAGGGTACCCAAAGACATTCCAATTATGACTGATAATACAGTTCATTTTTAACTTGAACTAAGAAATATAGGTAAAAACTTTAGTGGAGTGGTGTATTATTTTAAAAATAATAAAATGATATTTACATACATTTACTACATGTACCTGTCTTTATATCAGCCTCCTGTCAGTCCTTAACTGTGTCACTCAGATTGGGAGAGTAGTGTCAGCTGTAGGAGCCAGCTGGGCTCTGCTGTATGTGCTAACAGGAAACATGCCGACAGGAAGAGAGAGCACATTGATTACTTATTAATATGGTGCTGCTCTTTGTTGCAGACAGGGAGGTCACACCACATTAAAGCTGGCCATACACTAGTAGACTTTCAAACGAATGTCCGTATGAACATTTGTATGAAAACGTGTACAAAAATGCTCAGCACTTTCGATGGTATGACAAATGTCATTTGAAAGTCCTTCAAAATTTCGTTTGCTTTTGACATTCAAATTTGGAACGAATGGATTCTACTGAATGAAAATCACATGCAATGTTAACAATTTGTTTATTCCAGAAAAAATTTCCATCCTCCTTTGAATTTTCATGTCACTGCAGCCGAAAACCACTTTCAAATTGATCCCACTAATGTTTAGAAAATCGAATGCTTATCTTTAAAAAGAAAAATTTCAAATTAAATTAACTATTGTATAGCCAGCTTAGCTTCAAGGGCTAGGTCACATGAGCAATCTGTCTTTGGGTACAATTTGTGGGCGATAGAGACCACCTATCATTGTCTACAGCATTGTTCACTCTCTGGTTGCACAAGCAAGATGTTGCTTGATTGCTAGCTAGAATGTTTCTGCAGGATTCCAGTTCAGTGAGCGAGTGATATCCATTAGGAAAAATGGTTCCTGCATCTCACATCTTCAGATCACTATTGGCAAATTTGCCTATCTGACAGCCTACAAAGAAAGTGATGTCACCCCCCTGGCTGTTCTGTCTGGCAGTGATGAGTGGATCAGAAAAGGTGCTGGACAGAGTTACAAATATTTTGGCAGATAAGACAGTTCATATATGTTATTTGCCACTGTGTGTTTAGGTACTTACATAAAAATTCACATTTGGACTGGCAAGCACTCTAAGGGCTCGTTCACACTTGGCTGTTTTACCAACGCTTGCCAAATATGCCCCTATAGCGTTTGGCAAGCGTTGGTCCAGCGTTTGCGGTGTGTTTTTTAATGCTCGGCAAACGCTCCGCTAACGCCGCATGCATGGTTTAGCGGCGGTTGCTAGGCATTTGCCGAGCGTTAATAACACCCCACAAATGCCTATAATGCAGTTTGAGTGGTGTTACCGCTCCGCAAACGCCCCGCAACCGCGTTGCAACCGCACCGCAAACACCGGCCGGGCGTTTGCGGAGCGGCACCATAGACGAGAATAGGAGGCTTCAACGCCTCCTGACTCGACCAGAGGCATCTGTTTTGCCGTGATGCAACGCGACGCAACGCAAACGCTCCCGTTAAAACAGCACCATGTGCTGTAATGTGCAGAATTGGCAGAGGCGTTTTGGAAGCGGTAAAAACGCTTCCCAAACGCCTCTCTGCCGCCTGCACACAATGCTAGTGTGAACGTAGCCTAATTGTTAGAAAATAAGAAAGTATGCAATATACAAGCCAAAAGTCTAAAAAACTGTTGTAAAGCTTGTCTAATTCATGTAATATATTAATTTGCAAAACATTTTTTTTTGTTTTAAGGTGATTGCCATGGTGAAAGGTCTGCAAGTGCTCATGGGACGTATGGAGAGCGTCTTTAACCAGGCCATCCGCAATACCATATATGCTGCCCTGCAAGACTTTGCACAGAGCACCTTGAGGGAGCCCCTACGTCAGGCTGTGCGCAAGAAGAAAAATGTTCTGATTAGGTGCATGACAGTACATGTATTGTGGTCATTTTTTTATTGCATATTTTATTTTGTTTTTTTGTTGGAAGAATATTTATAGTATATATATGTTGGTTATCAGATTTAGAGGTGAAGCATTTAAAAGGGTAGGCTAAAATATGATCATATGATAAAATGATTCAATAATATACTTAATCTATCATATTTACACGTTATATTTAAATAAACTTTCCTCTAAAGGTACAAGTCCAACATTAATGTGCAAAAAAAGTCCATCCTTTATGCTTTTTAAATCCATCCAAGCTTTATGAATCTTCAGAGTGCTGCGTGCATGCATTCTTTGTGGAATAATTCCTTCTAAACAAAAGTGAAAAGTGCTCTGTTGAAAAAAAACTCCGCCAGAGCTTTCCTCCAGTTGTTATCACTATCAGTGCCCCCACTAGGGTCCACACTCACCAATTGTAGTATAACCCCTGAGCAGGGGCGGACTGACAACTCATGGGGCCCCTGGGCAAAAGGGGATCATGAAGCCCCTGTGTCCTTGCACAAACTTAAAAAAGCCTATAAAAAAGGTACCAGGGGCATCTCATGGGGCCCCTTACTGACACCGAGCCCTTGGGCAGTGCCCGTGTTTCCAAATGGTCAGTCCGCCCCTGCCCCTGAGCATACAGTATATTGTGAAAGGTCACAATAGTGTTTGTATCACAGCTCTTGTGTTGCATATAACACCATCCAGGAACTAGCTCGCCCATAGAGTTAGAAAGAACAAACCAGGGGGAACATCATAGCATGTACCAATCTTTATTAAAACCCATTAAAAAGAATTAAAATGTGGGCACTCACAAATATTGTGACTGTCCGGCACCTGGAATGATCTGCCAATGTGAATGAGGAATCACTGCTGCTCTGATCCACACTGGAGCCCGCTTGTCTTCCAACTTTCGGAAGTGACGTGGTACCAGAAGTTCCAACCTCTGTTTGTTTCATCACATCCAGGACATCATCAGGAGGTGTCTTGTGACCTTCTCCAGTATATGCTAAGGAGGTCAACTACAATTGGTGAGTGTGGACGCTGGTGGGGGCATTAATCGTGATAACAGCTGGAGGAAAACTGTGGTCGAGATTTTTGCACAGAGCACTTGTCACTTTTGTCTAAAAGGAATTACTACACAAAGAATGCATGCACACAGCACTTTGAAGATTCATAAAGCACTTTGAATGAATTTTTTTACACTTTAATGTTGGACTTGCACCTTTGGGGAAAACTTTATTTAAAAGAGAAGTATGAGATTTCGTTTTTTTTAAAAAATCATACTTACCTACATGGATGCAGCATCAGTCCCTACGACTCCAAGGGTGAGAACTCAGCGATCACATGACTGCTGTTCACTGAGTTCTCACAGCCGCTCTGAGCAGAGAGCAGTGACTGTCAGCCACTGCTGTCTGCTTTGCGTCCTCTGTGCTCATTGGAGCATTGTGCTGTGGAGGGGGAGGAAGCGGCTAGCTCAGTCTCTCACCGCCTCGCTGAGAGGCTGAGCCAGGTGCCGCACCAGACTCTAAAGTCGGGATCTTTCCCCAGCCTGGACCAGCTTAGTGACATCAGCCTGCTATCATCTGAAATTGGGTCATAGGAGTGCAGAACGAACTGCACTCCTGTGTTCCACAGAAGTACAGCCAAAAGAGCTTTGGCTGTACGTCTCCTTTAAAATATCACATGTATGTATGATAGATGAAGTAAATTATTGAATAATTTTATCATATTTTTTTTCATGAATTTGAAATTTTGTATTGCACTTTGATGTTTATGTTTACAGGGTAAGCACAGTTCTTTGTATACTAAACTCTATTGCATGGTGTATGGGGTCATAAACCATTGAGAGCAGCTTCCCTTATCACTGTTATCTTTGTTCAGGTGGTTTATATATTTTACTTTTAAAATATGATCATGTTATATATGATTGCCTCATTGAATTTCTCTTGCATCAGTGTTCTGCAGGCAATCCGCAAGACTATCTGTGACTGGGAAGCAGGACGTGAGCCACCCAATGACCCATGTCTGAGAGGAGAAAAGGATCCTAAAGGTGGATTCGACATTAAAGTTCCTCGCAGAGCGGTCGGCCCCTCCAGCACGCAGGTCAGGATCAGTGCATGTCTATAAAGGGCATCTAAACCTAAATACAAAAATGTAATATATTGCAGCTTATCAGTGCTTGCTGATGCTGATGTGATGGCTGAATTATTTTTTTTTTTCAGGTTTCTTTTTCTTTATTTCCACCTGTTGATCCTGCCAGTAACACGCTTCCAGTCAAGGCCTGGACTGAGCGAAGCTATAAGGGAGGGCCAGCATGACTGGGGCGTGCAGACGAGGCGGAGAGTGTAATTTGGGTGGGAGTCTAAGCAAAAGATTAGGGGGGTGGGGGTGGTTACTTACTTGATTGGAGTACGCATCAGTGTGGGGTGGTCTTGCAGAATTTGAAAAGGGGGGTTGGGTCTTGTCGGAGCTTGTGCCATCACGGAGGTGGTTTCTCCCGCCCTCCCGCCCTGGAGTTGGTTTTGTAATCTGTTTGTTGTGTTGGTTATAGTTTTGTCCTTGTGTTTGTCCTGGTGTTGGTTTGCTGTTTGGTTTGTTGTTCGTGGTGTTTGTTTTATGTGGATTCATTGTGTTTGCCAGTGTTCAGGACAGCTGTTGTGTCCCTAAGTGTTTGTTCGTTTTGTCATGGCAGCCGGCAGGGGTCGATGGGTCTTTGAAGGCGGTGTTGGAGTGACAAGTTGGTGAATTATGGGTTGGGCCCATCGTAGGTATGGGTGTCCCTTCCCAATAAAAGGTCATGTTGGTAATGTGGGAGTTCATTGGCTGTATCTGGGCTAAGTAACGGTAGTATTGTCCCCGAGGTGGTGTAGTAGCGGCTTTCATTGGGTGTCAGATACAGCCGAGTTTGCGATGGGAGTAATGGTGCCTTCGAAGACCTTGGACCCGGTTTGGGATCTTGCTGTCAGGTATCAATTAAGTTACTGTAAGAAATTTATGTTTGAGTTATGGTAAATAAATGGCTGCTATGGCCGGTTTTACACCAGAAAGAGAGTTGCGTGTTTATTTGGGTGGGGAAGGTTTTGAAGGGGGGTGGTGGTTTTATGGAGTAGGTAAGTATTAGCCTCGGGGAATCTGCAAGTCCAACAGTCATGTCCTAGGATGACAGCACTTACTCATTGTACTGCATCAGGATGCAGAAAAAAGGACTTGACTATTAGAAACTTCCCTGTGCTCTGGTAGATAACATGGGTAGTTCTGTAGTCCTTGGAAAAATACAAATTGATACAAATGCAGCACAGGCAGAGAGCACAGGAAATTATTAGCTGTGAAGAATTCTGGCAGGATCAACAAGTATTTTTAACACTTTATCGAACAAAGCACTTTCACTGTATTTAACAGACCAAATGTGAACAAATAAGAGAAGTCTATTATTAGAATTTACTGTATACTTTAACGCTGTTTTTCCTTTCTGTAAGCCTGTTTCCTCCCTGATTATTATCATTCTGATTTATTTTTAAAAAATCAACCTTCTATATTCAAATGACTTAAATTTACCATCTTTTACAGTTGTACATGGTGCGAACTATGCTGGAGTCTTTAATCGCGGACAAAAGCGGTTCCAAGAAGACATTGCGCAGCAGTTTAGATGGGCCAATCGTACAGGCTATAGAAGAGTTCCATAAACAGTCATTTTTCTTCACTCACCTGCTCAACTTCAGTGGTGCGTACAGACTATGCAAGTAGTCATCTTGTTCATGGGTAGCCATCTTGTTAGTTCTACCAGAGGTACAAAGAAAAAAAGGGACTTTTCACACATTTACTTGCATTAAAATGCATACAAATGTTCGAAGAATGGATGTGCATTGCCTTCCCTTGATGTTCATTGATGCGCATTTTTGTGTGTGTTGACGTATGTTTTAACATGCGTTGACATGAGTTGATACAAGTTTTTATGCAAGTTAACTTGCTATGTAGTTTGCAGGTTATTTTCTCTGCCATCACAGCCTTTTCCTGTTTGAATCCTTGTATGGGACAAAATAATAAAAAAAACATTTTCCTGGTGCCAACATGGCAGCATATTGCCACATATATGCTGCCTGGGATTGGCGCCAGGAAAGGAAAATTATGATAAGTATTTGATTCTGTTTTCTTGGTACCAGCATGGCAGCATATATGTGGTAATATATATGGTAAAGATCCAGACTTTAAAGTTGTCTGGACCCCAGAGTCTGGAGCAGCACCTGGCTCAGCCTCTCAGCGAGGCGGTGAAAGCCTGAGCTAGCCGCTCCCTCCCCCTCCACAGCACAACGCTCTAATGAGCATGGGGAGACGCAGAGCAGACAGTGGTAGCTGACAGTCACTGCTCTTTGCTTAGACAACCACTGCCTTGCTAAAGAAGCTGAGGGTAAAGGTGATGGACTGGCCAAGCATGTTTCCAGACCTAAACCCTATTGAGCATCTGTGGGTCATCCTCAAATGGAAGGTGGAGAAGCGCAAGGTCTCTATCATCCACCAGCTCCTTGATGTCGTCATGGAGGAGTGGAAGAGGTCTCCAGTGGCAACCTGTGAAGCTTTGGTGAACTCCATACCCAAGAGGATTAAGGCAGTGCTGGAAAATAATGGTGGCCACACAAAATATTGACACTTTGGGCCCAATTTGGATGTTTTCACTTAGGGGTGTACTCACTTTTGTTGCCAGTGGTTTAGACATTTATGGCTGTGTATTGAGTTATTTTGAGGGGACAGCAAATTTACGCTGTTATACAAGCTGTACACTCACTACGTCACATTGTAGCAAAGTGTCATTTCTTCAGTGTTGTCACATGAAAAGATAGAATAAAATATTTACAAAAATGTTAGGGGCATACTCACTTCTGTGAGATACTGTATATATTTAATTTAGTGCAAGTGCTTTGTAGGTTTTTTTTAATGGTAACCCATAAAAACAAATACCATTAAAACAATTTCCCAATTTATTGTACAACCATCCCAAATCCTCAGTTAGGTTAAAAAATTCACACATCAATATTCAGAATAAAATTGGTGTACCCCTCATGGTGCTGGGAATGGACATATTCAATGTTATAGACATAAAACAAAAAAATAGAAACTGCAGTGCTTCAATAACATATGCTATACTGTAATCAAACATTAACCAAAATATTGTTCAAACCACAATAATTGAAGTATTGCAAAACAATAAGTGACAAGAAAGTCCATAAAGTGAACAAGATGATTCAATTTGAGGCTTTTCTTCCCATTAATAGCCAGTCAATGACAAAGCCATCAGAAATGCTCCCCTGAAGTGGTTCCACTGGACACTATTCTGCTGTTCACAAGAGTATGGTAGGGTCCATGCTGGGGAGGAGTGAGATTGCCCTTATAATCTTCTAATAACCAACCTTTTTAATCTTCTATTAACCAACCATTTTATTGCAGTGCTCCACTTGTAGGATGCCACAACATTTCTATTCACACTGATTTACTGTAGCAGCTTATTTAGAATTGTTCATTTAGGTAGTCAGCACAGATACATATACAATTTTAGTTATACTTCAAAGCATATTGTTCAGTAATTTGTAGAGATCAATTGTTTCCAAATTGCTTCCATAGTAAAATGAAATGTGGTTAATTGCTATGGGTTGTACACTTTATACATTGCTCTTATTCAACAAGGTCAACTGACATGTCTGTGTATTGCACAGCACAATGTCACTTCTCAATGACTTGACTTCTGTTTGTGTCCCCCCCTCAGAGGCTCTGCAGCAGTGCTGTGACCTGTCCCAGCTCTGGTTCCGGGAATTCTTCCTTGAACTTACCATGGGTCGACGAATTCAGTTCCCTATCGAGATGTCAATGCCTTGGATCCTGACCGATCACATCCTGGAGACCAAAGAGCCTTCTATGATGGAGTAAGAGATTACAAATTGAAATTGCTGTTCAACAATATTCCACCTTATATATACGTAAGCTGTTTAGAAAGAGAGCCAGTCATTGCTCCTGTCTTAGCACACTTCTTTTGTGTCAGTTCCCTAGGTTTTTGTGCTTCTTGCTACGTCACTAGCATCCCTCTGCAGCTACTATCACAGCCTCACAATATATTAAGCACCGAGGCTTTGTATGGGAACTACAGGGATACGGCAATGAAGTAGCGGACATGGTTATTGGAGTGAGGGCAGCAAAGGGATGTGACACATGAAGGTGCGAGATTGGAAGATTATAGCAGCATCTGTTAAGCCAAAACACAAAAGTTTAAAGCGTAACTTTACCCATAACAACTTGAGAAAAAATATTCTTTAGCAAGGAGCATACATTCCACATTAATAATTATGCTACCAACATTTGTTTGTGCTGTAAATTGCCTCCAGCATTGCTACTGTTTCTTCTTGCTGGAAGCTTGTATTTTGCTAAAACCCAGAGCCCCTGAGCAGCAGTAAATCTCTAGGCTCTCAGCAGATTATCCTCTAGTGGCTTTAATTTTAGGCACAGTGCTGCAAAATAGAGAACAACTGAGCAAGTGCAGAGCAGGGTGAGACAGAGTATTACTCGATTTAAACAGTTTTAACAGTATAAGCCCTTATTTTTAATGTTTGACATAATATCTGCAAAATATGCCAGCCTGAAGTGGTCTAGAAGGACTTAATTTTCTGACTAAAGTTCTACTTTAAATCACTAGAAGGACCAGTAGTGAGAATAATAAATTGACTAAATGTGAGACTAAAGCTTCAGATATTTGGTTAATATCATCACGTCAGGTGCTGACATCTTTTTCCAAATACCAAAAGCCAAATCATAGTATTAAAAGAGTTTCCTGACTTTCCTGCCAATGATGTATGGTGGTTACTAAGCTTGCCATACAATTTACGTTCTGATTGTACAATATCCTTATAGTTGAACTCCAGGCAAGCAGATATGTATTTGAAATACATACAGTATATGGAGCTGTTTTACTTGCCAAAAGATATGTATTTTTGTCTACTTAGTCCTAAGATTTACACAATCCTGCATCAGTTCTTCTTTTACCTACAGATCTTGTTTCAGTTCCCAACCTATGACTGTACAGTGAAAGGAGAAGCAGCACGTTGCTGAGCTCATCCCTGTGTCACTCTGTTCTGATTCTATGATTCTATCAACCTGCTCCCTGCATTATAGCACAGCTGATTAGCTCCTTGTGCTGTATCCCTCCCGCCCTCTCTCTCTTTAGGCTTCATGCACACTGGGCATTAAAAACACCACTTTGTGGAGCAGAAAAAACTGCCACTAAATGCCCCTCAATGCAAGCCTAAGTGTCTATGCACACATAGGCATTTACAGGTAGGGGCATATAAAAACCCCACTGCCACCATGTTCTAGAGCAGCAGTGTCTTGATAGAAAATGTTTAAGGCTCCATGTACACTGCAGCTGATAAACGCACGTTTAGGAGCTTTTCTGGGGGGTTTTTCAGCAGCCCCTGAACTCTCCCTAATGTTTTCCTATATGTCCATATACACATCGTCATTTACAGTTGTTTACAGGCAGTTGAGTTTACAGTAGTTTTTTTGAACGCACCAAACTTGTGTTCAGGAGTAGATTTTCTTAGCGTTTCAAACGCCAAACACTTGTAAACGTGGCTAACCACATTTATAAGCGTTTGCATTTAGAATTTTTTTTTTAACTCTTCCATTTCCAGATGCTGTCCAGAGCCTTTTTTCATCATGAAAAATGCATGCAAAGCGTTTTCCAGGTACTCAATTGGACCTGGTACACCATACTTTGAGATTTCGCATGAGAGAAAATATGTTAGACACTTCTGCAATAATTTCTGCACAAAAATGAGCTGGAACACATCCAAACACCACAAAAAAAAACAAAAGACAGCTAATCTCAACAAATACTGCTCTCTCTGCTTCTGCTCTCTCTATTTCTCTCAAAATGTCCGAAATAGTTAATTTTTTACTGTATTTCAGTGCATTCTGGGCATTTTGGAAGGTCTCCTGAGGTTATCTTTAAAAGACTAGAAAAAATGTTGGTGTAGCGCTAAAACTATAGACAATATGATAGAAAAAAATCTCTGCTGGATTCAAATAGATAAATAAATAAAGAGACAGACAGGTGGAATGCATATACAATCAACCAGACAAGTGAAAATGCTCATAAAAACAAACGAGTGAAATGCTCATAAGAACACTGCCCTATTGTCACAATAAGGGGAGCCAGTGAGTCTCTCAGTGAATATATATTGGTCCCAGATCAGGAACACAATAAAGTGTAAGCATGACACACTCAATGGGTGGTATCAGTGAGTACATACACAGTCCACTTCAAATACAGGTGAAAAATCTTCATATACGTGAGAGTGCAGCTGGTGTCACAATCCTAAAGTGGTCTGAGTGCCCCCTCACCTCCTTGTAATGACCACAGGGGCCAGCACACCTTGTGGTATAAACCACGTATCCACAGGAGCCACCTTGCCTATTGGACCATACTGGATACCACTCCAGAGCCGTTGTCATCCAGATCTCCTTCAGTCCCTCTTAACTCTGGCAATACCTCTCGTCCCCACATGGTCAACTCAGAGACATAAATGAACATGCTCCATAGCGTGATACTGCATTTTATTAAACAAATAAGCAATAAAAAATAAAAAGTGCCCACTCACATATGAGAAGACGAATACAAGCAGAACATCCAAGCATAGGTATAACATGGAGTCCCAATATCGTGTGTGCACCGGACGTGACGTCACCGTGCTCCGGAAGTATCGTCAGGGCGTACCAACGCGTTGCGTCACGGGTAACACGTGACTTCATCAGGGTAAACGCAAACGCATATAAATGCGGTGTGCAAACGCAGCTAAACAGATGTTTTTTAAACTACATTTTCCAGCAGTCAGTTTCCATCGTTCAGAAGTGTTTTCCAAATGTCCCGTGTACATGGAGCCTAAGTGTTATTTCATTTCAGTGGCCATAATAAATAATAATTCTGACCAATTAAATGAATGAACGCTCAAGCACTTGACACTCCTAAACACATTTACAGAAATGGGCGCACTTTTAAGGCTGCTTTTCTCCTGCACAGTGTGTTCTTAAATGTAAAAAATACTTCTAAGGATATATTCATGAATATATTTATATAGATTTGTGAAATATTTATATATTTCAATAATTTATGTCTTTTATATCTGCCTGGAGTGCGGAAGCTGTGAGGATATGCCTAAACAATCTATTCAATTTGAATCCAATCAGGCAGGCTCTTGCATTACATAGCTGGTGGTAGATCTGACAATGATTGTACAATCAGACTGCAACCTATATGGTCAGCTTTAGACATTACTGCACCTGACCATGCACAAACTGATTAATTCGTCATTGTGAATGGAATAACATGTAATCATTGGGGAATATTAACAAAGTTGGCTGCATTTTATTTCACAGGTATGTGCTGTATCCGCTGGACCTGTACAATGACAGTGCCTACTATGCCCTCACCAAGTTTAAGAAGCAGTTTCTCTATGATGAGATTGAAGCTGAGGTAGGTTACCTACATATTTTTACCTCTCTGTGCACCTTCATTAGCCAAAATATGAGGGTGGCCAGCTGTCACCAAGCCCTGATTTGTCATTCGCCTCAAATTCCCTATTATCAACTAGTGCAATTTACAATACTCCATAATAATATCAGCACTTCATTAAAGTGAACCTAATTCAATTTTAGAATGTTAATAGTAAATGCCTGCTAGGTTCACACTTTTGTGGTTCCCTGCAGACGCGTTTGTGCAGGTACAGCAGCTCTTTAATTTGAATGGGCTGCTGTACCTGTGGGAAATGCAAGTAAAAGGTCCCTGACCCTTTTCTAAAACCACAGCAGCATGGAAACCACATGGTGCGCGGGGTGAGGGGGTAGGAGATGCTATTAAGAATTAATGGTATGTGGGAAAAAAATAGAGGCGCCTTCCCATATGGAAGAAAAATATATTTGAAATATATTTTAAAAATATTCTTCCCAAATATATTGACATATATTTGAAATGCTACAATTTATATTTCAACATATATTTCAATAAATATCTAAATATATGTTTTTTAAATATATTCTTTAGATTTTTTATAACATAAAAAAAGTCATTTTAACATATATTTTTACATATATTTGTAAATGCATTCCAAAAATGTAGATTTGTATTTTCAAAGAAATACAGTATATTTGAAATGTATTTTTAAAAATATTTTTCATATATTTTGTAATAAAAACACATTTCAACATACAGTATATATATATATATATGTTTATTGAAATGTATTTGAAATATATTGAATATGGCCACAATTATGGCATTTCAAATATATGTAAATATATTTGGGGAGAATATTTTTAAAATATATTTCAAATATATTTTTCTTCTATGTGGGTTCTAAGTTCAGTATTGCACAGTTTAATAAGCCACTAAAGGTCTGTAGAAGGAGCAGCTAGCTCCGAGCCCGTAGCTTTGCCTCTCTCCTCCTTGGTTGCCGACCCCTCCCCTTGGTGACGTCAGGTCTGCCCGACTTGCGGTTCATGCTGTTCACAGACCCTTCCGGTTCCGGGGGCAGTGTCCTGGGACTTCCACAGCACTCTGGGACCTTCTCCACCATCCACTGTGGCCCCTATTGCAGTCAGACGGATCCCTGCAGGATATGGATGACCTATAGTCCATCTTTCACTGATGGGCTTTTTCACCACTTCACTATTGTGAGTTTTTATAACTTTTGTGACTTATTAAACTGTGTAATACTGCACTTAGAAGGCGCCTCTCTCTTTTTCTTTCCACATATTATCCTTATAGAGTTGACTTACTCTGGGATGGCTGCCACTTAGCAGTTATACAGTTATGGACATTATGGACTCATGGACTATTGGTATATTTACAAGATATGAGCCACTAGTGCGCTGAGAGTTTTTTTATATTGTTATTAAGAATTAATAGCCCCCCCTACGTGTCTAAATAAATAGCAACGCGTTTTTGCTGCTGGTGCCAGAACATGTGCAATTGACAAGCCTTCCTGCAACCGAAATAATGTGAACTTAGCCTTAGTTTAACTTTTTTTTTACCAAAAGCACAGGTTTGACTTTACATATGGTTTAAATATACAGACATAACTAAAAACATTGATAAAAAGCTTGTTAGTCCCCTTGTGATAGCAATACAGTTAAATAAAAATAAATAAACAAAAAGTAAAAAATAAATAAAATTATATTACAATGTAATAATAAAAAAAATTACCCGGAACTTTCATTGCCCTGCACACACCCACAAATGCAAACGTGTGCACAGGGCGTACACATGCATGTAAACCGTGATTGCACCATGTAAGAGTGAGAACAATAATTCTAGAGCCATAATTCACTGTTAGCTCTAAACTAATGAGCTGTAGAAGCTTTTAAAGCATTGCTTTTGGACAATTTTAGGTACAATAGTTTTTTGCGATATCATGAGTGCATACAATTTTAGGACTTGACATGTTTGGTATCTATTTACTCAGCGTAACCCCTTGTTTTATATTTTACTAAGACATTGAGGTTTATGTACTAAAACTAGAGAATGCAAAATCTGGTGCAACTCTGCATGGAGACCAATCAGCTTCCAGGTTTTTTTGCCAAAGCTTAATTGAACAAGCTGAAGTTAGAAGCTAATTGGCTACCATGCCCACCTGCACCAGATTCTGAGTGGACCAGTTTTAGTAAATCTACCCCATTGGTATTATATTGTATTTGTTTATACTAAAATTCATTTTAGTGTTTAATAAAAAATCACTCAAATATTGTGCAATGTAAAAAATTGCAACTACCATCTTTTTATTCTATAGGGCCTCTGCTTTCAGAAAATATATAATATTCTGGGCGTTTTAAAGTGTTACTAAACCCACAACAGTACAATCAGTCTGTATATGCAGTAAAGTATGCTTGTTATACTCACTGTGGAACCTAAGGGGTTAATCCTCTGCATTGTGTAAAACTGCTGTTTGATCATCTCTTATGTCCAAGGTCCCCGTCTTATCTCCTCATAAGACATATTGTGTGGAGTCACTCTGCACATGCTCAGTTTGGTGTGTATTTCTAGAGAGGTTTTTTTTTTTTTTCTTGGGAGAGTGCATGTGATTAGCACAGGGCCAATCAGGGCCAATCAGAGGCCAGGAGTTCCTCCTACAAGCTGTAACCAGTGCTCAGCTGGACACTGATAGAAGTCACAAGACTGCTCAAACTGCTGATGAGAAAAGGTATTTAGCAGTTTATATTTAACTAGAAAAGCTACAATTTCTGGGGAAATTGTGTGAAGTGTTCTTGCCTCCACCAATAGTCTACAATGTCAAGGGCGGCGTGCGTTGCAAACAAATGGTCATATTGTGAAAACTATCAGGACTATGGCTTAGCCGTGGACATTTTTAGTGGCAGCAGGGATAGCTGAACGATTTGATATATGATTTGTGTAGGTGGGCTTGAAAATGAGGGAGTGATGGCAGTTTAGAAATCATGTCCTGATTTTTCTGCTCACACTCTAGCTTTTGTCAGCTCCCACTCTAGTTTTGAACATTCCGCCATTCATTCCTATGGGACCAATTTCACCACAAAAACGCAGATATTTTGTGAACCATTTGGCGAAACATTCCACAAAGTAATAGCACACCAATCGGGAACAATCCGCACGTTTCGGTATATTACCGTCTATGTAGTGTAAAAACTGTGGGAGGAGTTAGGGTGGTGAATTTGGCTATAATAATAAGAATATATATGTGAGATAACAGTAAGTGGTCTGCCATGCAAGAACACTTAATAATATAATTGCACTTCCATGTTGTATGTACTGTGGGAGACCAGATATAGTGAATGCAGGGTCCGTGGAGGGAGAGCGGATATAGTCAATGCAGGGTCCTGGGTTTAGTAGCACATTAAGTAATTTATAGCCAAAATGCAGATTTTAACATGCGTGCAAAAACCGAAAAAAATAGCTCTAGAGTGGAAGTGGTTAACCACCTTTATTTTCTCTTCTCTTCTAGGTGAATTTGTGCTTTGACCAGTTTGTGTACAAGTTATCAGATCAGATCTTTGCCTATTACAAAGCCATGTCTGGCAGGTATGAATAGACACTCTGCTTTCTCTGAACAACGTTTTTTCTTGTAAAAAAATAATTGAGACTATTTCTCCTTCGCAAATCTGTATTAGGTTTCTTAGCATTGTCCTGTGAACTAAGTTATGTTGTCAACCCAATGCTTGCTTTCATTCACTATACTGCAGTTGAAATACGCTGGATTTAATCTTCTCGATAACAGCAATGTCACAGACAAATAATATGAATTAAACAGATATTCTTCTTCTTTCAGTGTTTTGCTGGATAAGCGCTTTCGGGCGGAGTGTAAAAACTATGGAGTAATAATTCCATATCCCCCGTCCAATCGCTATGAAACGCTACTCAAGCAGCGCCATGTTCAGGTGAGCTTCATAATATTATTAATACAAGTAAAAAGAATGTTTTTATGTAGAAACACTCATTATGCTATGTCTGCATGGAGGATGTTGCCTTTGTAATTGTATTTGGCACTGGATGTAAACCCTGGACCCAAATAAACAGCAGGGACACTACTAAAAGCATAAAGAGCAATAATCTATCATATTACTTTATGAAATGTACACATACTGGATGTACCCTATTCAAAATTCAAAAACCCAAAACAGCCAATGAAGGTTTGTCTCTTTTTTTTTAACAAACAAAAAACTGAAATCTGATTGGCTGCCATGCGTTGCTATGCTTTATTTATTCTCATTGCTCATGGCACTGCTATTAAATAAACCTTATATGCTCACTCTTGTCTTTCCATCTCCAACAGCTTCTGGGAAGATCTATTGACTTGAACAGGCTGATCACTCAGCGGATCTCTGCTGCGATGTACAAGTCTCTTGATCAAGCAATCAGTCGCTTCGAGAGTGAAGACCTCACCTCCATAGTGGTGGGTGTGCTTTGCTAGTACAACTTTTTTAAGTGAACCTACCACCATCCACTGCAACTGTGTTTAGTTATCTCCTTTCTACGTTTTCTCTTAAGTTCTACTATAGTGGACTACAGAACACCTCCCACTTGTGGTATGGAGGTGAAATGAAGGGGAGGTGTCCTGTAGTCCAGCAGATGAGAACTGCTTAGGATTTTAGTTCAGCAGAAGCAGAGTTGTCAGCTTAAACAGGAAGTTTACTGCCAGTATGTTGTTGTGTACATACAGCTTTTTAAGTGGACAAAATATGGGGAAATGTGCATGGATTGCAATACGTACCGCATACATTTTTTTCCAGACATACACTTTAAGTATATGACATTTTTACTTACACAGAAAGAAGTTCCACATCAGATCGATCTGTAGGGACAGTGTAATGGTAGGAAAAAATAAAGTAGAATGATGTCACTATGTCAGAAAGATTGTGATAGAGGATGGTGAGGACGATCTCTAATATAGGAAGTTTACCATTAGTAGCATTAAGCGGGTGAATGAGGAGTGTTTTTATTTTCCATTTAGACTCTTTTTATGCACAAGGCTCAGTTATAACAAAACACTTGATTCTTAATTGTGGTCCTTGTTTTAGGAGTTGGAATGGCTGCTTGATATCAACCGCCTCACTCATCGTCTCCTCTCCAAACACCTGACCCTCGACAGTTTTGATGCCATGTTCCGAGAGGCCAATCATAATGTATCTGCTCCATATGGCAGGAATACATTGCATGTTTTCTGGGAGCTCAACTTTGACTTTCTACCAAATTACTGTTATAATGGCTCTACAAACAGGTGAGTAAAAATGATAGGATGTAACTTGCTCTTCCAAGAGAGTTGTATATTTCTGACTTTTTACCTAGTTCCCCCCATACCTGGTGCATATATGCAGTCTCTTGGCGGGTGCCAGGTAACCTCAAATATGCGTCTATTGGTAAACACTTTACTGTGCTGAGAGCATGCTCCCTGTACACTCCCAGCACAGTAACAAATGGTTACCCAAAAGTGCCCGATGCAAAGTTGTGATCGCAAGTTTTCCGATCACGTGATTGCTCAGACTGCCAATCACAGCAGTCACATGATTGGAATGGCCACTTCCGCCTCCCAGCATTTAGATCCTCTTAAAGCGGTAGAAAACCACGTTAAAAAAAAAAAAGCATAATGGTCCCCCAGCAGGCTCACATCATTAAGCGCTAGTATGCACCAGATACTAGGACTTTATGAAAGACTTACCTAAGAAATGAATCCCTCCAGTGGTGCGCCATCACTGCTGACAGGGAAACCCATATTCACCCGGTCTTCTTTCCAGGTTCATGGGCTCTGGGCTGTTTGAAAGGCAGAGCCATGATGATGACAGTAACAGCACAGCTCATGTAATGGACAGCATGCCATCCATTGAGAGCACAGTGCGTATGCACCGGTGATGTCACCCACTGCTTCACATGTGAATATCTCCTAAACACTGCACATTTAGGAGATATTTACTGTACCTACAGCTTTATTATAGGCTTACCTGTAGTTACAAAACAAGAAAGGGAATACTACCACTTTAAGGGATAGGAGGCAGGAAGGGGTAAATATAAAATGGCTACCCCATGTATATACCTGGGAAAATCACACAGGTTACTGTTCAACATTTTTCCTTGCTTCTGCTGTCCTCTGGGGGCAATTCTGAGATATTAAAATATATAAATGATAATTCATATAAAATATCATCACAAAATAATAAAGTGCTATTAGGTGCAATTGTGCATAAAGTGAATAAATAAATGTCCGTATATATCTCAAATCTCATCAGCAGAAAAGGAGCAGTACTAGTCCTCAGGTTAAATTGCAATACATCCAAGTGAAAAAAGTGCAGATGTGCGTATATCCACGGAGGGAATCCACCACCTCTGATGGGTGTACACTCACCAGAAATTATATGTAAGCAGGCATTGGTTACAATCTGTCACATCTGGGTGCAGGAACAGAGAAGCAGCCTGGGGGTTAATCCTCCAGCATCATCCATGTACCGGTGGGGTGAGTATCCCTTGAGATTGCTCAACCACAGGAGCCAGAAATGCTAATATAGTGTAGTATTTATTAATCATATATCGAATTACATGTATAAAACATTCCACGTGGAGTAAGGTATAAAAACAGGTATCAAGATGGCCGCCACTCCGTTCCTCAGTAGCGGCGGCGTGACGTCGGCAGTGCAGGCTTCTTTCCAGGTTCATGGGCTCCGGGCTGTTTGAAAGGCAGAGCCCACTCTGCATAAAATTCATTCACAGTTATACGTTTATACCGATGCACTTTATCCATTTACATATTTCTATTGGGACCGTTACCTATGCCCCGAGGTGCTAACAGCTGCCTGTATACACATATATACATTTACTCTTGCTTATACTTTTTTAAAAATTCTGAGATATTGCATGGTTCTGCCAGTGCAGAATTCTGTTGGCTGATAAACCCATCTGCAGATGTTACAAAACATAGGACCCTGCATATGGAGAATGTGTTGCTCCTGGCTCCCTCTGGTGTCATTTACTTTACCAAAAGATTAAACCATTGATGGTGTGATCTCTGCTGCTATGAAATATGAGAGTTCAGACAGGTCTAATCATGTGACTTAAGATCTACTATTTGATCATGTGACCAGTACTGAATAGAGCGCAGAGCAGAATTTTCTCCAGGAATATGTCACTCCATTTCCCTTTATGCATCCAAAAGAACAAGACTGGTAACATATCTATATTCTAAATTGTGAATAAAAGGAGCTGCGCTAAAAACTAACCGCTGAAATAATGTGCAAACAAATATATAATAACTAAACTGCATAAAGTGCAAAAAACAAGGCTTAATTCAACAATAAGGTCAGTATGCACCCGACAGACCCGCAATTCCAAAACAGAGTCAATAAACAGCCGACAGAGCCTTAATAAGTCATGCAAAATATATAGTATAAAAACTGCACTCCAAATCCAAATATGTAAGTGAAGAACTAAAAATATATAAGTGTGACATTGCATAAAGACCAAATAAAGCAATAGGCTGACCACCTCACATGGGCCGTGTGAAAAAAATTGAATATTATAACTCATGGCATATAGTAATAGTATATTTATTTATTTCAGGTACTTATAGAGCGCTGTCAATTTACGCAGCACTTTACATATGTACTGTACATTCACATCAGTCCCTAACCCTCAAGGGGTGTACAATCTAAGGTCCCTAACTCACATTCATATACTAGGGCCAATTTAGACAGGATTTAATTAACCTACCAGCATGTCTTTGGAGTGTGGGAGGAAACCCACGCAGGCACAGGGAGAACATGCAAACTCCAGGCAGGTGGTGCCGAGGCTTGATTCAAACCAACGACCCTAGTGCTGCCAGGCGGAAGTGCTAACCATTTAGCCACTGTGCTGCACTGTGCATAGTATATAGATGAATAAAGTGAAATTGAATAGATAAATGAATAAATATCATAAATACAGTTCACATGTGAAGTGACAGTCCACAGTGAGAATATAATAAATGCACAATGTGTAATGTTCATCAGTCTTCCCCTTTGGTGCGCTGTTGTATGCACCACCACCAGGCTTGCACGCTCACCTTCACGTGCTGGCCCACATACATAGGTCCAACTGCGCTTAAATCGAACTCCTCATTCCCCTGCGTGTCATGGCTGCTGGAGATTCCTCATCACCGGGACCCAATAGATAAAGTGCCCAAAGATATAATAAAGGAAAGGGGGTCCTCATAGTGCAGTAAAGTTTATTAAAAAATCAAAGCTCCGCTTAAAATGCATTCACATGGAACGTAAGGGCTAAAACCCTCATACAGCATAGGTAAGGATGAACAAAGATGGCGGCGGTCACCACCGTATCAGAAATGACGCCACCACGCTTCTGTCTGACACGTTGCATTATGCATCACGCGACTTCATCAGGGATCAACGCAGTGCATTGGACGGAAGCGCGGTGACGTCAGTTCCGGTAAGGCAATGATCGCCGCCATCTTTGTGGTGGTGCTTGCTGCTCTTAATGTAGTGTTTACTTTTTTACATTTATTTACCTGTTTGGAAGAGCGTAAGATCTCTGCCATTGTTATATCTATATGGTAATTTTTTAGTACAGTGTTGTTTTAACTAAGTATAAGGAGCAATATCACAAATAACTTCCAATTTTATCACAAATGTGCACATGATCTTTAAGATTTCTTTCACATTGGTGTGTTGCTGTAGTGCGCAATGCCCAGTAACACATAAAGCTAAGTGCAGTGCATTGTAGTGCTTTTGCTTTTGAATGCTACCCCTTTGCATCTAGCAACGCACCACCAAGCACAATGTGTACTTTTTTGCATTGTGGTGCATTGCATTGAAAAAAATAGTGTCTGTCCATTCAAATAGGTATGTGTTGTGGTGCATCAACATTTCATTTAAAATAAATGAGCTGATCTTATATGTTGCACGTTAACGCAGTTGCAGTAAATTGTAATGTATCGGACCAGTGTAAATGGCTTCTGAGACTATCTGTGATCATCCAGCTGTAGTGGGACTACATGTTTCAGCAGTAGAGAAATGCACAACAGAAACATTTGTTTTGTTTTGGATTTGTTTGTTAAGTTAAAAATTTTCTTTCGTCATATTCGTTATGTTAGATTTGTTTTCAGAATTTGTTTTCTTTATCTGGATTTTTTCAAATATTGATTATTTTCAATTCAATTCAATTCAATTCAAAATTCAGATTTGAAATGGCTATATTTGTTCCATTTTATTCTATTCTATTCTATTCTATTATTTTATTCTAATCTATTTTTTCCACTCTGTTCCTTTATTTTCATATCTATTCTTTTATTTTTTATTCTACTCTATTCTGTTTTAGTCTTTTATTTTTTTTATTCTATTCTAATATATATTCTATTTCTTTTAGTTTATTTTCTATTCTATTATATTTTATTCTTTTCTGCTCTATTCTGTTCTTTTGTATCCTATTTTATTCTAATTCATTTTTTATTCTATTGTATTCTGTTTTATTTTATTCATTTCTATTATACTCTATTTCATTCTATTATTATACAGGATTTATATAGCACCAACAGTTTGCTCAGCGCTTTACAATATAATGGGAGACAATACAGCAACAATACAGTTCAATACAAGAGGGATAGGAGGGCCCTGCTCCTTGGAGCTTACAATCTAGGATTCTATTTTATTTTTTCTATTCTATTCTATAAAGCATCTTAAGTCGGAATCAACATCTTATTTTAATTGCATACCTTACGGTATTTATTGCAATATGTACAGTGGGGATCGAAAGTTTGGGCACCCCAGCTAAAAATTTGTATTAATGTGTATAAAGAAGCCAAGGAAAGATGGAAAAATCTCCAAAAGGCATCAAATTACAGATTAGACATTCTTATAATATGTCAACAAAAGTTAGATTTTATTTCCATCATTTACACTTTCAAAATAACAGAAAACAAAAAAATGGCGTCTGCAAAAGTTTGGGCACCCTGCAGAATTTCTAGCATGCACTGCCCCCTTTGCAAAGCTGAGACCTGCCAGTGTCATGGATTGTTCTCAATCGTCGTCTGGGAAGACCAGCTGATGTCAATCTCAAAGGTTTTAAATGCCCAGACTCATCTGACCTTGCCCCAACAATCAGCACCATGGGTTCTTCTAAGCAGTTGTCTAGGAAACTGAAACTGAAAATAGTTGACGCTCACAAAGCTGGAGAAGGCTATAAGAAGATAGCAAAGTGTTTTCAGATGTCAATATCGTCTGTTCGGAATGTAATTAAGAAATGACAGTCATCAGGAACAGTGGAAGTTAAAGCAAGATCTGGAAGACCAAGAAAAATATCAGACAGAACAGCTCGCAGGATTGTGAGAAAAACAATTCAAAACCCACGTTTGACTGCACGATCCCTCCAGAAAGATCTGGCAGACACTGGAGTTGTGGTACACTATTCCACTATAAAGAGATACTTGTACAAATATGGTCTTCATGGAAGAGTCATCAGAAGAAAACCTCTTCTACGTCCTCACCACAAATATCATCGTTTGAACTTTGCAAATGAACATATAGACAAGCGTGATGCATTTTGGAAACAAGTTCTGTGGACCGATGAGGTTAAAATTGAACTTTTTGGCCGGAATGAGCAAAGGTACGTTTGGAGAAGAAGGGGCACAGAATTTAATGAAAAGAACCTCTGTCCAAGTGTTAAGCATGGGGTTGGATCAATCACGCTTTGGGGTTGTGTTGCAGCCAGTGGCACAGGGAACATCTCACGAGTAGAAGGAAAAATGGATTCAATACAATTTCTGCAAATTTTGGATGGTAACTTGATGCCATCTGTGAAAAAGCTGAAGTTAAAGAGAGGATGGCTTCTACAAATGGATAATGATCCTAAACACACCTCGAAATCCACGGGGGATTACATCAAGAGGCGTAAACTGAAGGTTTTGCCATGGCCTTCACAATCTCCTGACCTCAACATAATTGAAAATCTACGGATAGACCTTAAAAGAGCAGTGCGTGACAGACAGCCCAGAAATCTCAAAGAACTGGAAGACTTTTGTAAGGAAGAATGGACAAAGATACCTCAAACAAGAATTGAAAGACTCTTGGCTGGCTACAAAAAGCGTTTACAAGCTGTGATACTTGCCAAAGGGGGCAGTACAAGATATTAACTCTGCAGGGCGCCCAAACTTTTGCAGATGCCATTTTTTTGTTTTCTGTTATTTTGAAAGTGTAAATGATGGAAATACAATCTAACTTTTGTTGACATATCATAAGAATGTCTAATCTGTAATTTGATGCCTTTTGGAGATTTTTCCATCTTTCCTTGGCTTCTTTATGCACATTAATACAAATTTTTAGCTGGGGTGCCCAAACTTTTGATCCCCATTGTATCTGTTTAGAATTAGAATTAACTTTCAAATTCAGATTCATTTTCAAATTAATTTGTTTCGTTATAATCTATTTCGGATTTGTTGAAATTCATTATTTTGTGATTCAGAAATTCTGATACATCTGAATCTCAGAATAACGAAAATATTATCCAAATTTCAATTTGTAACAAAACTAAATGCACATGTATATTCATCGGCTCTACTTATAGACTAACAGATTTAAAAGGTAGTTTGCAATAACAATCGATCCGTATTTGTCTTCCACAGACCTGACTCCTGCACTTTGTGTTTCACCATTTTTTAATTACTTTAGTGAATATGAAAATAAGTATAATGTACTCTATTCAAGGCGTTTCTTTTTTTCAGACCTTTGTTTTTGTCTAACATATTTCTTACATTTTCTGCAGGTTTGTTCGAACAGCAATTCCTTTCACACAAGAACCACAAAGAGATAAACCAGCAAATGTGCAGCCATATTATCTGTATGGATCAAAGGTAAGTAAGGACTGAATTTAATAATTATTGATAGGAATATAATCTAGATAAACTATACCAAATCTGATCCTTAATAGACAGTACTTTGAGACATCCAGTTCATCCAGTTGGATAGCTTATCAGGAGTATAGAGTGTACTACAAATGTATTCTAAACAACAAGAGTTGTAAGAGTTGGACCAGTCTTAGCTCAGATTTTATAATGTTCATCATACTCTGGTAATTTTTTTTTCCTATATGTGATTAACATTTAAAAACTCTTGTCCTGCAGCCCCTCAATATTGCCTACAGCCACATATACAGCTCATACCGCAACTTTGTGGGTCCTCCACATTTCAAAACTATCTGCCGTCTTCTGGGCTACCAGGGCATCGCTGTGGTTATGGAAGAGCTGCTGAAAATCGTCAAGAGTCTGGTGAGATGGGGTATAATGTCGTTGGAGAGGGTGTGTGAGCTTTGCTGAAGTAGAGATGTATTTAATTTTATTCAGCAGGCACCATGAATATAAGACTTTATTGTCTACATATCAAAATAGATCTCATATGCACATATGTGTTTTTAACTCTAACACTAAATGGTTTGATGTCTTTTGACATCTACAGTTAGGTCCATATATATTTGGACACAGGCACAATTTTCATACTTTTGGCTCTATGCCACCAGAATAAATTAAATTGAAACAATCCAAATGAATTTGAAGTGCAGACTTTCAGCTTTAATTCAAGGGGTTGAACATAATTATCAAGTATAAATTTTAGGAACTGAAACCATTTTTATACACAGTCCTTCCATTTTCAGGGGCTCAGATGTAATTGGACAAATGAATATAATCATAAATAAAATGTTCATTTTTAATATTTTGTTGAGAATCCTTTACTGGCAATGACTGCCTGAAGTCTGGAACCCATGGGCATTACCAAAGACTGGGTTTCCTCCTTTCTGATGCTTTGCCAGGCTCTAACTGCAGCTGTCTTAAGTTGTCCTTTGTTTGTGGGTCTTTCTGCCTTTAGTTTTGCCTTCAGTATGTGAAATACATGCTCAATTGGGTTGAGATCAGGTGATTGACTCGGCCATTGCAAAATATTCCACTTCCTTTCCTTCAAATGCTCCTGGCTTGCTTTTGCAGTGTGTTTTGGATCATTGTCCATCTGTACTGTGAAGCGCTGTCCAATCAACTTTGCTGCATTTGGCTGAATCTGGGATGACATTATATCTCTAAACACTGCAGAATTCATCCGGCTGCTTCTGTCATATCTTCAATAAACACCAATGACCCAGTGCCACTGGAAGCCATGCATGCCCATGCCATCACACTGCTTCCACCATGTTTTACAGATGACGTTGTGTGCTTTGGATTATTAGCTGTTCCAAACCTTCTCCACACTTTTTTTCTTCCCGTCATTCTGGTACAGATTCATCTTAGTTTCATCCATCCAAAGAATGCTTTTCCAGAACTGGTTTGGCTTTTTTTTTCATTTTTTTTGGCAAAGCAAAATCTGGCTTTTCTATTCTTCAGGCTTATGAATGGTTTGCGCCTTGTGGTGAACCCTCTGTATTTGCTCTTGTGAAGTCTTCTCTTGATTGTAGACTTTGACAATGATACACCCACCTCCTGGAGAGTGTCCTTCACTTGTCTATGTTGTGAATGGGTTTTTCTTTACCATAGAGAGGATCCTGCGATCATCCACCACTGTTGTCTTCTGTGGACGTCCATACCTTTTTATGTTGCTGAGCTCATCAGTGTGTTCTTCTTTCCTCAGAATGTACCAAACTGTTGATTTGGCCACTCCTAATGTTGCTGCTATCACTCTGATGGATTTGTATAGTTTTTGAAGCCTTACAATGGCCTGTTTCACTTGCATGGACAGCTCCTTAGAACGCATGATGTAGGTTTCACAGCAATAGATTCCAAATACAAATACCACTTAGAATAAATTCTAGACCTTTTACCTGCTTAATTGATGAAGAAATAATGAAGGAGTAGCCCACACCTGGCCTTGAAACAGCTTTTGATTCAATTGTCCTATTACTTTTGGTCCCTTGAAAAAAGGGGGGATGGCTAATCTTAAGAGCTGAACCCTTCCTCCAATTTGTATATACATACCCTCAAATTAAACCTGAGGGTGGGCACTTTCAGCCCATATCCATTATATAACTATAGCTTGGATATGTTTTGGTAAATACCTGAAAAAAACTAAAACTGTTCCTGTGTCCAAATATATATGGACCTAACTCTATGTGTGATCAGGACTGTTTAAGTTGCCCTTATTAACAGAAGATTAGAAGAGGAAAACAGGGCAAAGGCCCAGGGCTCCTTCATTTTTATGAGTACCTAGAAGCCTTTACCTCTCCCATTCTACATTGTACATATCGGAGAGCCTGCAGTTTGCTAAAGTCAAAGGGGCCCCAGTTTAACTCTTGCCTAGGGCCCCAATTTATCCAAACTGTCCCTGTTTCCTGTTTATTAGTCATGGATGAACACCTCAAACCTCTATGGTATAATCTGTCTAGAGCCAGATTTCCATCTCTAGTGCTTGTTGGCACACAACTGCTGGCACCCAAAGCAACAATCAAGATCTTGTAGGCTTAGGCAAAGTCTACTGTGCTTAATGGAATATCCAGCAGAACAATAAAATGTAGATTGCCGATTCTAAATTCTGCTGGATTCCAAAACACTAAGCTAAGAATGGAAGAAGTGGGTTCCTATTGGAAGCGGATGGGCCTTGTGCAAGCCGCAACCGTTACATCACACCTAACTTTCTTTAGGAAAGTTTTATAACCCGGAGGTCTGCTCTGTTCCTCAATTTTTTAAATAAATCAGTTTCCTAAACTGTTGTATATACAGGACTGGCATATACAGTTGCAAGAAAAAGTATGTGAACCCCTTGGGATTACATGGAGTTTTGCATGAATTGGGCATAAAATGTGCTCTGAACGTCATCTAAGTCACAACAATAGAAGAACACAGTCTGCTGAACATAATACTACACAAACATTAGATGTTGCCATGGTTTAATTGCACATAACATGTAAACATTCACAGTGCAGGGAGGAAAAAGTATGTGAACCTTTGGACTTAATAACTGGTTGACCCTCCTTTGGGAGCAATAACCTCAACCAAACGTTTCCTGTAGTTGCAGATCAGACCTGCACAACGATCTGGAGTAATTTTGGACCACTCCTCTTCACAAAACTGTTTCAGTGTAGCAATATTCTTAGGATGTCTGGTGTGAATCGCTCTCTTAAGGTCATGCCCCAGCATTTCAATCGGGTTGAGGTCAGGACTCTGACTGGGCCACTCCAGAAGGCGTATTCTGTGCTGTTGCAGCCATTGTTTTGTTGAATTACTTGTATGCTTTGGGTCATTGTCCTGTTGCATTACCCATCCTCTGCGAGCTTCAGTTGGCGGGCAGATGGTCGTACGGTTTCCTACAAATGTCTTGATAAACTCTGGAATTTATTTTCCCATCAATGACAACAATCCGTCCAGGCCCTGAGGCAGCAAAGCAGCCCCAAACCATGATGCTCCCTCCGCCATGTTTTACAGTGGGGATGAGGTTTTGATGTTGGGGTGCTGTGCCTTTTTTTCTCCACACATAGTGTTGTGTGTTCTTCCCAAACAACTCAATCTTGGTTTCATCTGTCCACAGTATATTTTGCCAGTAGTGCTGTGGAACATCCAGGTGCTCTTTTGCAAACTTCAAACGTGCTGCAATATTCTTTTTGGACAGCAATGGCTTCCTCCGTGGTGTCCTTCCATGTACTCCATTCTTGTTTAATGTTTTCCTTATTGTAGATGTGTCAACAAAAATGTTAGCATGTGCCAGAGATTTCTGTAGGTCTTTAGCTGACACTCTGGGATTCTTCTTTACCTCATGCAGCATTCTGCGCTGTGCTCTTGCAGTCATTTTTACAGGACGACCACGCCTAGGGAGAGTAGCAACAGTGCTAAACTTTCTCCATTTGTAGACAGTCTGTCTTACCGTGGACACATGAACATCAAGGCTTTTGGAGATACTTTTGTAACCCTTTCCAGCTTCATGCAAGTCAACAATTCTTGATCATAGGTCTTCTGAGAGCTCTTTTCTGCGAGGCATGGTTCACATCAGACAGTGCTTCTTGAAACCAGTAAACCCAAAACAGGTGTGTTTTTTAAGGGCAGGACAGCTGTCAGCAACACATCCAATATCATCACACTGATTGGAGTCAAGGTTGGCTCACTCTTGGCTCCAATTAGCTCTGGGAGAAGTCATTAAGCTAGGGCCTCACATACTTTTTCCTCCCTGCACTGTGAATGTTTACATGTTATGTGCAATTAAACCGTGGCAACATCTGTTTGTGTAGTATTATGTTCAGCAGACTGTGTTCTTTTATTGTTGTGACTTAGATGATGGTTCAGAGCACATTTTATGCCCAATTCATACAAAACTCCATGTAATCCCAAGGGGTTCACATACTTTTTCTTGCAACTGTACAGATCAGCATGTTGATTCATTTTCAGCTCATTCACAGAGCAGTAAAAATTTAAAATGGCCTATTCTGAATCTTTTTTGCGTATAGATGTTATTGTGGATTTGTGTGTCAAAGTTCCAGCCCCCAGGCTGTCATTTTAGTCATGGGTTCCCTACGTATGAATAATCCAGGAGTTAGGACTTTTCACACTTTGCTGACTGCATGCTTGTTCCAGGGTCAGTCAGTCAATGGTAATCAAAGCATGATAGCCTAGGAGCCTGCAACTTAAAAAGGGCTCCAAAGCTTGTAAAATGTTCATTTTAACATTCTTTTTGTACACGGCATTGCACTCTGGGTTTTTACTGTTTGGTTTGTCCTATCCACAGCTCCAGGGAACCATTTTGCAGTATGTGAAGACTCTTATTGAGGTTATGCCAAAAATCTGTCGGTTGCCAAGACATGAATATGGATCTCCAGGTAGGGGCTGGGCCGATGGTTTCAACTAAAGTACCTATTAGAGCTTCTCAGCAATACAGTACATACACATTTCCCTATATGTGATCCCTAACAAAACAAAATGTTTTAAAAACTTGCTGCTGATATCCCTAATTCAGTGTGCCCCCAACTTCCTGTTTAGGATGACAACACATTGCTGCTCCGAAATCCCAAACACCTTGGTCATTCCTGACTGCAGGATTGCAGAACACTTACTGTATTTGCATTGCTCTTAGATCCTACCAATATACATACCTTGATTTCTTTTCCAGCAAACCAATGTATGCATGTGGGTGGAACAAAAAAAAAACACCTTCCTCAGGGCCAGGCCTAGGGGTAGGCAGATGAGATGGCTGCCTTGGGTGGTTTAGCCATCAATGAGGATCAATTAGGGCAAGACCTGCAACCAATGCTGTTGAAGTAGTTCACAGCTTATGGAGGGGAAGAATTCACGTAGGCCTTTTCACTTTGAGCCTGGGTTCACACCGGTGCGGTGCAGAATTCGCACCACATCACAATCGCACCCCGTGCATGCAAACCGCTGCAGGTATGTATGTTGAGTCAACAACACCCCGAAATCGGTTCGCAAAACGCGGTGTGATGTGCACAATCAGATTGCATAGGTGTGAATTACCTATGCAATCCGATTTTAGTGTGGACCAAAAAAAGGGTCCTGCACCTTTTTGGTGCGGATGCGGTGCGATTTGAGCCATACAAATGTATGGCTCAAATCGCACCGCACAGAATTTGCATGTAATTTGCACAGGAATGCGGTGCGGTGCGGTTCCTGTGCGAATCACATGCGATATGCCGCACATCATCAGTGTGTGAACCCGGGCTGAGTGTTAATGACCTTGCTGTAGACACATTACATACATTACATAACTGTATAGCTAAACAAAACTCCAGCCTAAACATTTATTTCAGTTTAGATAGTGTGGAAGGGAGGGTTAGAACTTCTATCAGGTTTTTATTTTGGCCTAGGACCCAAATGAAGAGATTTTTCCACACTTCCAGTCCAAATGTAAAAAAAAAAGTTGTCACCAGGAAAGGAAAGTAATGGAAAATCTATTCAATGTGGACATAGAGAGAGCAGAAAACACACTTTTAGCTTCGTTCACATCTATGCAGTTTGATTTTTGTCCATTTTGCGGTGCTTTTCGCAGTTCATCTTACGTTTTTCTACACGCATTTGTGACGCGTTTTTTACTGCGTTTTGTTCAGCTCTTTTTTTTTTTTTGTTAAAGTGGAATTTTTTTTGTTGCTGGGCAGAATAAAAATGCAAAACACGGCAAAAACACACTACCATGCATTTCAGAAGCTTCTCTATTGAACTCTACTGTAGAAAAAATGCTGCTTTTTGCTTTCAAAAACATCCCTGACCCTTTCCAAAAACGCAGGATTTAAAAAAAGCATGGATGTGAACATGTTCCATAGGAAACCATGTTAAATGGACTGTAGTATGTTTCTGCAAAAAGCACTAAAAAACGTATTGGTGTGAACGGAGCCTAAGGGCCTGTGTATACCACATGCAGTCCAGTGCGAGTTTTTACTGCATCAAAAACACATGGATAGTAAGTTATATGGTTTCCGATGGCATAGTTCACACCAGTGCGGTCAGTTCCAATATGCTGCAGTTCCAGAAAAAAAGTGGAACATGCTGCATTTTTTCTGCACTGAACTGTACTGGAACATGTTAAAAAATGCATCAAAAACGCACCGGAACGCATATATCCTTATGTAAGGTGAAGGAAAAAAGCCTGAGAAAATTGTACCAGAAAAAAAATGCACTGGAAGGCATCAAAACATTGTCACTGCATTTCTATGGTGTGAACCAGCCCTTAAGGTAGGGTAAGAACCTGTGTGAGATTTTTATTACTCTCTGTTCTGAGATGTCCATTCCTCTCATTTCCTGTCCTATTGTCATTGGAACAGCTAAGTAGATTAGCTTTCTAGCTTTTATTATAGGGTGGACCCATCCTATGAAGTCTGTGATGGGTATTCCCAGACCATTCTTGTGCTAAGAATTATTCCTCTTTTTGATGCTTCATCTAATGCCTGTAATACCCGTATGATCTTAAAACCATGGTATCAATTATTTTCAGGCATCCTGGAATTCTTCCATCATCAGTTGAAGGATATCATTGAATATGCAGAGCTGAAGACAGATGTGTTTCAGAGCCTCAGAGAGGTGGGCAATGCCATCCTCTTCTGTCTGCTCATAGAACAGGCTCTGGTAAGAACTACATTATATCCATTTAAAGCATATTTCAGCATTTTCTCCTTCAGCATAATGAATGACACCACTTTTCTAAACCTAAACCATGTACCAGCCTGTAACCCGTACAACAGGACAAAGTAGTGAGGTGCAGGTTACAGAAAAACACAGAATATCAAAACTTGTGGAAGCATCGGTGTCTGTGCAGAGTTCAGAGGGAAATTTGTCTTTATCAGTGTGGTGCTAGACTATTTTGCGCCCTAGGCAAGGCCAGCTATTTGCACCCCCCCCCAAAAAAAAATAAAACTTTAACATTTTTAGCCTGTGCAGGGATGCTTTTTCACCTAGAGAACAAAAAGTAGTTGTTGCATTGCGCATGCTACCAAAGTAGGTAATAACCACTCAAGCAATGTAGCTCACGTGTAAAACCACATATTTATTACTCCCATAACAGGGGAAAAAAGTGATATCTGTTGACAGTGAAACACACAACCACTGAACGTGTAATTAAAGACAATACAAAAAAAAGCAATCCGGATTGCAATGCGTTTACCATGGAAATTGTCGCTATAGACTATAGTGATCCCAGCCACGGCACCACTTGCCTGGAGTTTGCATGTTCTCCCTGTGCCTGCGTGGGATTCCTCCGGGTAGTCCGGTTTCCTCCCACACTCCAAAGACATGCTGGTAGGTGAATTAGATCCTGTCTAAATTGGCCCTAGTATGTGTATGTATGAATGTAAGTTAGGGACCTTAGATTGTACGCCCTTTGAGGGTTAGGGACCGATGTGAATGTACAATATATATGTAAAGTGCTGCGTAAATTGACGGCGCTATATAAGTACCTGTAATACATAAATAGTGAGATTATACAGCGCTGGTATATTCCATATGAAACAATTGCTAAGCCAACAGGTCATAACATATAGCCATCAATATAGATCAAATGATCTTAAATCATAGCTTTGAAAAGTAATAGTAATCAGCAGCTTAAAATATATATTGACAGGTGAATCGTCCCGGACATGTGGAGAGCAAAGATAAACCCTGTAAAGAGTATGAAAAAAATGCTTTTTCACCTCTTTGCCAATGTTAGCTCCGTGTGGAGACTGACCGGGGAGCTGGGAGGAAATTATGTTGTGCGCAGCTTGTGTAGCACCTCATTGGCTAGATACCTCTTCTTCACAGGTTGGCTGAAGTTTCCAGGAGACAGCTTCGTCTCCAGCTAACATCATCCAATCCTGTCTAGGGACAGTGACACCAGGACGCAGAAGTGACATGTTACATGTTGCTTCCGGGCCGTTCACAGGAAAGGGAGATCAGCGAACAAGTGTTCGCTGATCTCCCTCCTTTCTACCAGTGGCACCCACCATTCAGGTCCCAGGTCCGCTGATGGGAGTGCAGAGACAGGGAAGCATGGCAGGGAACATGGGGGTTATGGAAGTGGTCTTGAGGCTGCACAGGTATTGGATCATTTCCACCTGAAAGTCAGCCTGTCAGATTTACACACACTCAATCAGATACTTCCTGTAAGTAAAAACTAACAGGACGCTTCTCACTGTGATTATGTGATCTTCATCATTATCAGGATGATCACACAGTACAGAAGGTGCTGCATGTTCTGTCTGTATACAGCATATGGCTCTATCTCTGTCTGTGCCTCAGAAAGCAAAAATTGTGAGCTTGCTTGTGCACCAGGTTCCCATTGCTTGCTGTGCCCTCAGCCACCTCTCTGTTGAATCACCTCCCACCACCAAGCAACAGCCTTACCTTCTGTCCTCCTCAGCAGAGGAAGAAATAATCACTCCGCCTTTGAAAGAATCACCCCACCAGTGAAAGGCTGTGAGCAGCCGCGGCCGGCCCCCATTGATCAGCATTGAAAAGCGCAATAAAAAAGTGTCCCTCTCTGCTCCTTGCCTCCCGAAGCCCTCTAGTGAACTGATGGGTCCCTGGGAAAATATAATTAATGTTACGGCAGGGCCGGCTGTACTGCCCTATTGGCGGCCCTGGCCATGGTTGCACCCTAGGTGGCTGCCTAGTTTGCCTAGTGGTAGCACTGGCCCTGAGTGTTCTGTAGCACAAGTACCAGAAGAGGTAAGTATTTACTCTTTTCTTTTACAGGGAGCTGTAAGGGAAGGATAAGGTGAGGATGTCTATGGAAAGGGCATCCCCAAACCAACATATATTCACCTTACATATGCAGCTCCTTGCTCCAATACAGCCAGTGCTGAAATCATCTGTGACAGGGAGAGAAGATGTCATTGCTCCAGTCATTTAAAAGTATGGCAATTTTTGTATATGACTTGTATACGCTTGCTCCACCCTGATTTTGTTGATGTATATAAAAGGCTGACTTTTTTTTTCATTAACTAACATGTTATACTTGCCTGCTCTGTGCAGTAGTTTTGCACAGAGCAGCCCCGATCCTCCTCTTCTCGAGTCGACTGTTGATGCTCCTGGCCCCTCCCTCCTGCCAAGTGCTCCCACAGCAAGCAGCTTGCTATGGGGGCACCTGAGCAGGCTCACTCCCGAGTTCATTCAGACACTGCCCCAACCCTGCTCTCTCCTTATTGGCTCACTGTCTGTGACTGACAGTAGCGGGAGCCAATGGCTCCTGCTGCTGTGTCAGCGAATGAGGAGAGAGTCCCTGAAGAGCCGCTGCTCTCATGCACATCGCTGCATCGAGAGGGGGCTCAGGTGAGTATTAGAGAGGCTGGGGGGGGGGGGTGCTGCTACACACAGAAGGTTTTTTACCTTCATGCATAGAATGCATGAAGATAAATAAACTTCAGCCTACAACCACTTTAAATAGAGAGATTTGTCCATTTGCCACTAGAGGGAGTTCAGTGCAACCAACGCCTCTCTGATCACATTGTCTTAGATAATGTGCACCAATTTGATTGAAGGCCTTTCTTGATTGCTTTAGTCTTTTCTCATCATAACCTGTGTGGTCATCCATGCTTGTTGGGTTCCAAGTTCTACTCCATAGATTTGGATGGTTTACATACAGTGCGCTGATAATGGCCAAAAATCCTAAAACAGCTGTATGCAGTGCAGAATAAATGGCTCCATAATATTTTATTAATTTATTTCAGGTACTTTACGTCAATTTACACAGTGCATTACATATTTATTGTACATTCACACCAGTCTCTAACCCTCAAGGTGCGTACAATCTAAGGTCCCTAACCTTTCATTCATACATACACATTTTTTTAAGTCCGCAAATGTGCAACTATAACGAAAAAACCCATAAGTGAATCACAAAAAAAGTGCAAGTGCAAAACACCACACGAAAAAAGTGCACTTAGGGGTGTGCTTTGTCCTACCCCTAAAGGGGCTGGACCACTACCCTGATCCCCCGGGGCACGAAGCTCCTGACGGGGACAAGGTTCCCATTTGGTCCTCCTGGCCAAAAGGCCTGGTGGACCACCGTTCCTTGTGTCCAGCTGAAGCCAGACACCCAGTACTTGGTCAGGGGGCTCTCCCGGAGAGAAAACCCCCTAGGGATCAGGGGAGGAAGGAACCAAAAGGCCACACATCCTCCCCCTAGACTTCAGGGTAGGCCCGAGGACCCACACCCTCCATCCTGTGAAAACACACACATAAGTAAAGCAAAAAGTGACAAGACGTGGGAGGTGTTAAATTAAATAAATAAAAAATAAAAAAGTGGTCATGCCAAATTGTGCACAGACCAGGCCCTGAGGCCTGTAGCAAAAATTGCCCTGATCCTAGCCATAAGGCCTGGTCCTAAGGGCGCTGTGCAAAAAAAGTGGTAAATCAGTGACCATGTGCCATCTTCACACTGTGGGGTCCCACACCCAGGTGTTACTAGTGGCACCCCTGAGGCGACTACTCAGGGGGCACTGGTTTGCGGACTCTCTGCCTTCCCGAATCCTGGTCAGACAAGGTAGATCCGTCCAAATCAGGAGGAACTGGGTCCTTCCGGTCTCCTCAGGGGAATTACTCCCAGGCCCCAGCTACATGTGGGCGTCCCGGTTTCTGTCCCCCCGGTACTAGCCGTCCAGAGCCCCATCATACCAGCGAGGGTACTATACAACAGTCATCCCCGCAAAGCTAGAATGACCGGGAGCACCCCAACTGGACACTGATAAGAACAGATTTTTTTTTTTTTTTTAAGTCCGCAAACGTGCAACTATAACAAAAAAACCCGTAAGTGTTCACAAAAAAAAAGTGCAAGTGCAAAACACCACACGAAAAAAGTGCACTTAGGGGTGTGCTTTTGTCCTACCCCTAAAGGGGCTGGACTGCTACCCTTATCCCTCGGGGCACGAAGCTCCTGACAGGGACAAGGTTCCCATTTGGTCCTCCTGGCCAAAAGGCCTGGTGGACCACCGTTCCTTGTGTCCAGCCGAAGCCGGACACCCAGTACTTGGTCAGGGGGCTCTCCCGAAGAGAAAACCCCCTAGGGATCAGGGGAGGAAGGAACCAAAAGGCCACACATCCTCCCCCTAGACTTCAGGGCAGGCCGGAGGACCCACACCCTCCATCCTGTGAAAAACACACACAAAAGTAAGAAAAAGTGACAAAACGTGGGAGTGATAATAAATTAAATAAATAAAAAAATAAAAAAGTGGCCGTGCCAAATTGTGCACAGACCAGGCCCTGAGGCCTGTAGCAAAAATTGCCCTGGTCCTAGCCAAAAGGCCTGGTCCTAAGGGCGCTTGTGCAAAAAGAGTGAAAAACAGTGACCTTGTGCCATCTTCACACTGTGGGGTCCCACACCCAGGTGTTACTAGTGGCACCCCTGAGGGCGTCTACTCAGGGGGCACTGAGTTTGCGGACTTTCTGCCTTCCCGACCCCTGGCCAGACAAGGTAGATCCGTCCAAATCAGGAGGTACTGGGTCCTTCCGGTCTTCTCGGGGGAATTACTCACGGGCCCCAGCTTCTACTCGTGGGCACCACGCTTTCTGTCCCCCCGGTACTAGCCTTCCAGACCCCCATCATACCAGTGAGGGTACTATACAACAGCCATCCCCGCAAAGCTAGAATGGCCGGGAGCACCCCCACTGGACACTGATAAGAACAGATACTACACTTGATCTTAGCCAAAAGGCCGAGAAGCGATTCATACATACACATTTTTTTGATTGAAAAAGATACTTTATTACAGAAGTATAAAAAAAACATGATACTCGTTATTGGGGTACATCTCACCCTATACTGCGACGCAGCGCACCACATTGCAATATAGTACCAGGCATACGATAAATACATTCAATAAATATTTTTAACAATGAAAACCAGCGCAAACCCACATGATCAATTACATTACTCAGTTTAAAAAAACATTAATGTGCTAATAAAGATATATATAATAAATTATATATAAAATATATTGATATAAAAACATATATAAAAATTTAAAATTATAAGTCCAGTGACAAAAAAGCAAAGTGACAAAAAATCAAAAAAAACCCAGAAAATATATATATAAATATAATTACAGTCCCGTGACAAAATTAAATCAAATTAAATTGTAATATATTTTCCATTTGATTCTTCCGTGTTACTGATCCCTTCACCATCCACCAGTGCAGAAATCAACATTAACCGCACTCACCAGATAATGGTGAGTCACACGCCTTTCAGGATTGTTAAGGGCTCCTGGACCCCCTTTACTTTGTCTGGGACCTCCAAGTGCTCTTTCCTCTTATGTCTAGGTACCTCTTCTGCTTACTCCTCTCACCGAATCCCCCAAAGGAAAATCAGGAAGAAGAAAAGACCATAGCGTGATACCGCAGTAACTTCTCCTCAAATTAATCTCTCCAGACCACTCACATTCTTTTGCGGGGTATAGCCCACTTTTTATTCAAAACAACAGCGATTCTCTTCAGAAATGGTCCACTTTTCATGTACACCGATTATACAAGGACCTCACAGTTTAGTGTGCAGCAGGATGGCAGACCTCAGCTACAGACTCTTCTACTTAGGCTAAGATGGCCCCTTGGAACGCACCGCTCGGCGTGCGCTCCACTCACCGGAAATGACGTCAGACGACGGACCAGGCAACCGGAAGTGCGTCAACGCGTTTCGCCCCACCCACAGGGCGTTATCAAGTTTTTTTACATTCAATAAATACATTCACTCAGCGGTATGATGCCTGACGTGATGTGTGTGGCGGACGAATCCCCAGACCAACACGTCATGCATAACGCCGCTTACCCCGAGACCATAGCATCCTAAGACAAAGAACATTTCCTACCATTACAGAGTCATGCAAAATACGGATGTTACACTTTACAATAAGCATCGGGTGTGTGGGGGGGAAGGGGAAAAAGAAGGGGACACAGGTCCGAAGCTTTATTGAAGGGACAAAGACACGCAAGGGGGAGTAGGGGGAAGGGGAGATCTTCAGACGTCCTCTTCCTCCTTAAAGTCCATCAAGGTATAGTCTCTGAGCAGACTGAGGATCAGTCTGCGGCAGTCCTCAATGGACATCCTCTCCCGCTGGTGGATGAGGCGCTTCCTGGCGCACCATAAAGCGTCCTTAAAACAACACAGCACCCGCCAGGCGCTGTCAATGTCCTCCAGAGAAAAAGTTCCACAGAAAAGTCTATTCAACACCCCAAAGTGTGTGATGGCTGTCTGTGGCACAAAATCCTTGAGTTCAGGTTCCAGGGCCCTCAACAGGTCCTGAGCAAAAGAGCACTCCCAGAAAACGTGATGAGCCGTTTCCTCGTGGATGATGCAGAAGGGGCAGTGTCTGTATCTGCTCAGGTTCCTGGCATGCATGAATGTCCTGAGAGGCAACCCCCCTTGGATTGCCATCCATGATTCATACATACACATACTAGGGCCAATTTAGACAGGATCCAATTCACCTACCAGCATGTCTTTGGAGTGTGGGAGGAAACCAGAGTACCCCGAGGAAACCCAAGAAGGCACAGGGAGAACATGCAAACTCTAGGCAGGTGGTGCCATGGTTGGGATTCGAACCAAAGACCCTAGTACTGCCAGGCGGACGTGCTAACCATTTAGCCACTGTGCTGCCCATTATTAAGCTATATTGCACTATACACCAGTAGTTCTGGAGAATAAAGCAATGATTTGCATGGCTCTACCCAATGTCCTGAAATGAGGAAAAAAATCCTTTTATTTTTGGGACAATTGGTGAAATGAGACATGTGAAACGTTTTTTCAGAAGCTTTGTGTCTGCGGCACATTGGGGTTGATTTACTAAAGGCAAATAGACTATGCTCTTTGCATGTGTAGTTGCTTCAGACCATAATAAAAGTGGGGAAGCTCTGCTGACTTCCATCATCCAATCACGTGCAAGCAATAATGCTATTTTTTTTTTATTTTCCTTGCATGTGATTGGGTATTCTTTGTAAAATGAAACTTTACCTCATTTAGTAAGCTCTGGAGCAACTGCACTTGCAAAGTGCACAGTCTGTTTGCCTTTAGTAAATCAACTCCAATATATTAAATACATTTGTATATGAGCAACTAGAGGAAGCTTAGCTCAATCACTTAACAAACAAAACTTGGCACCACAGGCAAAACCAAAAATAAACCAAAAATAAGGAAACACAAATGAATGTGATTATGGCTGCTGCAGTCTTCAAAATGTGCCTTCTTCCGCATTTATGAACCCTATAAATGTGTATATAGATCATGCTGCCAAAAATGTGAATCAAAGTTACTAAACCGTTTGCCACATGTTAAGGTGCAAAAAATAGATACATAAACTACACCAGAAAATACAACTAATGTCCAATGAATCAGTAAGTTCCATTCAAATAATCGTTTTCAAATAAGTAACAATTATTGGAATGGGACTTACTGATACATTGGACATTAGTTGTATTTTCTGGTATTTATTTATCTATTTTTTACACCTTTACGTGTGGCAAACTGTGTAGTGACTCTGATTCACATTTTTGGCAGTGCAGTCTGTATAGACATTTATCAGCTCAATCACTACCTCCCTCTCCTTTAAAGTGGAACTACACTGTATCTAAACTCCACTATCCAAAAGCGCTATTTAATTCGTTTTTAATATTAAAACAAACTCCCCCATCCATCCATGTCTCCATGCTTTATTTTGCTGAGAAATCACTTACAAAAACACCCCCCTAGCATTTCTGGCCATGACCATCTTGAGTGAGGGCAGATGATTCATGTAGCAATTACTTCCTAGAATCCATATGCCCTTAGCTCAGGCATACAGGCAGGAGGATGTGCTTAGCTGAGAAAACCCCTTCTAAACACTCCTGGGAAGTATGACTTAATTTGTCTATGCGCGGAAGCCAGGAAATAACTAAAGAAATGTAAAAAAAACACTTTAAAACAAGTAAATTTGATATACATTTTCTATCTATTTACTAATGCTAGCAGCATAAAGATTCAAATAATCAATGTTGATTGAGAGGGTGAAGTTCCACTTTAAGGTAGTTGGTACTGGCAGAAATATTTCATTACTTTCAAATACACTGGCTGCCTGGCTGTATCAATGAGTACATTTCAGATGCTATGTATTATTGCTGAATGTAAAGCATGTTGGTGTTTTATGAATAGAAGACAATAGAACATGGATCAGTTTTCGTTTTGGCACCACATGTGGTTGTTGTGGTGATGGACATGGACTAAGATGTCTAGCACTGTTGGCTGTGATTTCTGTCACAGGCCCCTTTATAATTCTCTGACCCTCATCTCTTCTCTCTTTATATCACCCAGTCCCAGGAGGAGGTGTGTGATCTTCTTCATGCAGCACCGTTCCAGAACATCTTACCACGAGTTTACATCAAAGGTGAGTCTAACCTGAACCGCTCTAAGATCAAAACATTTCCTGCTTGTTCAGCTAACTTCTTATCTTGTCTTGTCATTTAGAGGGGGAACGTCTGGAGGTGAGGATGAAACGACTAGAGGCAAAGTACGCTCCACTGCACCTTGTACCACTAATTGAGAGACTGGGCACCCCACAGGTATGCTTTGGAGGTTCTGTCCGAAGCTTTACTCCATCCAACATTGATACTTCAGTCTTGAGTAGTCACCAATGGGCTGAATTCTTATCCCATGGTAGACAGTGGTGAAATTTCTGTACTATAGTCTCTGCTCCTCTCACGATGACATAGGTGTCATGCTGTCTCAGCCCCATTATAGAAGAATATTCTGCATAAGGGAAGGTCCAGAGAGAACATACAGAGATATTACCATTTGTTTTTTTAAAGTACACAGTAGTTAGGTGATCTGGAGGTTTCTGATGCTTGAAGGTGATTTATTATGGTCGTCTCCAATCTGCAAATGGTTAGATTGTTCTTTAATTCTGCCCAGGGGAGGACTGATCATTTGGAAACTCGGGCACTGCCCAAGGGCCCGGGGTCAGTAGGGGGCCCCATGAGATGCCCCTGGTACCTTTTTCATAGGCTTTTTTTGAGTGTGGGCAAGGACACAGGGGCCCCATGATCCCCTATTGCCCGGGGGCCCCATGAGTTGTCAGTCCGCCCCTGATTCTGCCTAAAACATTCATATAATAAAATACTTTTCTCCTTTAATTCATAGGTGTAATATCAGAATAATCCATTAGATAAATGGGATTTTGAGGCTGCCAAAAATAAATTTCAGCTATTGATGATATTAAAAACAATAATTTATTATACACAAATGTTAAAAGAAAAGACAACCAAACATTGAAATGAATGTCACATAACTTAACATGTAAGGGTATTCAACCATATATTGTATCACTACCAGGGGCGTATTTACCACAAGGCACTTGCCTAGGGCGGCATTTTTTCAGGGGGGCAGCAGCATTTTTCAGAGGAGCAGCGCCACTCCCCGAAAGAAGGGATGAAAACATGGGGACCAAATGGGATCTGAGAGAGGCTGAAGGCTGCTTGATGGTGTATGCAGAGCCTGACTCATGTTCGTGGGGATGTCCGGAGCTGTAAAGGTGTGCGTCCTCTCTCTCGCCAGGGTGGGGGGGTTGCAAGTGTGTATGGGGCAGTGGTAGTGGAAGGCTCTCTCGGGTGGGTGGGGGGGGGGGTTGTTGTTGGTCAGTGTCAGGCTTTTATCATGGTGGAGGGGAATGTTTGTCAGTGTCAGGGTCTCTCCATGGGAGGGGGGCGATTATTGTGTTGCCTAGGGCAATAAACAACTGTGTTGCAACTGCTATGGATCCAGAGCGTTTAATCACATGCAAGTATAACTGGTTCAAGTGTAATGGCGGCTGTGTTCAGTGTGATTTGTGATCAGCTTCATTAGGATCTCAGAGGTGATCTGAAATGTCATACAAATGGCATTAGCTATAATATAAATAAATCTCCTAATGCAAAACAATGCCAGTTTAAAGGATAAATTCACCTTTCATAACATGTTACGTGTTACATCCATATTTAGGATGTAACATGTTACATGTTTTGAATGCACCGGCCCCCGCTCTCCTGCTTTGACAGCTAGTGGGGGAACGTCTCCCCCCCCCCCCCCCCCCCCCCTTGGTAGCTGTGAAATTAAAAAAAAAAAAAAGTTTGTTTGACCTGTGTCCACATACAGGTCCATGCGAGAAGCTGAGAGTCCACCTGGAAGTCTATGTTCACTGTAGTGATTAACATGTATTGAAGATTTACAGCACTGGGATTTTGGGTGCAATCACCAGCAGGAAGATTTTTCACTTATCTGGATTTTTTTGAAGAATTGCCAGTCATTGCTAGACTCAATAGTGTAACATAACATAAATGATAACACAATGTTTTGGTAATTTTCATTTTTCTTTTTATTAGCAAATTGCTATAGCCCGGGAGGGTGATCTTCTGACCAAGGAGCGTCTGTGCTGCGGTCTTTCCATGTTTGAAGTCATCCTGACCCGGATCCGCAGCTACCTGCAGGACCCCATCTGGCGTGGTCCTCCCCCCACCAATGGAGTGATGCATGTGGATGAGTGTGTGGAGTTGCATCGACTCTGGAGCGCCATGCAGTTTGTTTACTGTATTCCGGTGGGAACCAATGAATTTACTGCAGAGTGAGTACTTGTTATCTCCCTAAAAACTGCAGCTCACCAGTGGGGTTGTCTTGTTTCTTTAACACTGTAACTAGAATGATATTAAGGATTTTGTAAAATGCAATCAAAACATAAAAAATGAAAGTAGAATTCCAGCTTACACCTAGCTTTCACCCCCAGTTCACTTCTATGCAGCTGTGTGGGCCGCATTTTGCACGGGAACGAGAGCCCATTCATTTGAATGGACTCCCGTGTCCCGGGACATGCAGGGAAGAAGTCCCTGCACTTCTTTGGAAAAAACCATTAGAACTAATGGCATCTGCCTGCGGGTCCGCATTTTTCTGTGCGGGTGGTGCGGCTGCATGAATTTTCGTGCGGATCCGCAGCGGCACCACCCGCATAGATGTGAACCTAGAACTGTCCCTTCCCCATCCTAACACCTATGCTAACCAGCCTGTGCAAGATGTACAGTATATACTTACCTATTTTCAGGCCACTCTGGTCTGGTCACATGATCCAGCTCCCTTCTGTGAGCTAGCACAGCTGCAGGGGAGAGTAGGGAGCTCTGACAACAGATGGACTATTGAAGCCTATGGGTGACATCACCACTCCAGGCTTTACTAGCCATTGTCCTGGTACACTCTCCATTCCCATATAGCTGCTGCTGGCTGACACAGGGGAGATTATTTAACTGGACCAGAGCAACATGGAAATATGTAAGCATCAGGGGTGGACTGCCAACTCATGGGGCTCCTGGGCAATAGGGGATCATGGGGCCAGTGTCCTTGCCCAAACTCAAAAAAGCCTATGAAAAAGGTACCAGGGGCATCTCATGGGGCCCCCTACTGACCCCGGGCCCTCGGGCAGTGCCCAAGTTTCCAAATGGTGAGTCCGCCCCTGGTAAGCATATACATCTTTCTTACACAGGTTAGTTAGCATAGATGTTAGAAGGAGAGGGAACAGTATTAAGGCTGGTTAGGTGTAAGCTGAAGTTTTTTATATGAATGTGACGTGAATGTACAATATATATATATATATATATATATATATATATATATAAAAGTGCTGCGTAAATTGACTGCGCTATATAAGTACGTGAAATAAATATATAATAGATAAAATAAATGTCCCTAATAACAAGCTTCTAACAAGCTTGGTTGTCTTGTTAATTTTGCTTTCTGTCCCTTGTTTCCCCCTGCAGGCAGTGCTTTGGAGACGGCTTGAACTGGGCAGGTTGTGCCATTATTGTGCTTCTGGGACAGCAGCGTCGTTTTGACCTCTTCGACTTTTGCTATCACCTCCTGAAAGTCCAAAGACAGGACGGGAAAGATGAAATCATAAAAAATGTGGTGAGTGTCACTGATTGGCCAGACAACTGCCATTGACAAGACAATATGTGCAACACCACTGCTAAGCTTCATTCATTCTGGTGAACATTGGCCAACACAAATGAGACACGGACACAAGCAGAGCCTCTGTATGAGTATGAGAGGTCTCACAGACGAAAGAGTACCTGCAGTGTTGAGATATATATATATATATATATATATATATTTATTTTTGTATATTTATTGCATATTTATACATAAAATATATGTATATATTTTTTACACTGTAGAATAAGGGGAAAATATAATGATTTTTTTGTCAGTTTTAGTTCAATATTTTGTATTTGTTTTTTACTATATTTGCAAATTGATTCAGTAGCGCAATAAAATATATATGTGCATATAAATAAATAAATTATTGATCATTAAAATGTGAAAAACTGAAAGTCTATAAAAAATATTTTCCACCAAATGAATCTTCCAATTCCCAAAAGATCACCACGTGCAATAAAGATGGCGTTCCCGCTTTTGGGTGTACACTCACCAGATAGCCAAGAAAAACATTTTTTATGGACTTTCAGTTTTTCACATTTTAATGATCACTAATTTATTTATTTATATGCACATATATATTTTATTGCGCTACTGAATCACTTTGAAGGTTCTTTTTGTTGATCATATTTATTTGTATAGAAGTGGCAGCATTTATTATAATTCAATATAATTTATTATAATTATTCTTGATTTAGATTTTATCACGCATCTAGCGCAAAGTCTTTTTTTTATATATATTTGCAAATTGTCTATTTTATACTGGGTTCACCTGGCTCAGATATTGCAGCCTTTTCTGGCCTTTCTAAGAAGGAAGCCCAGCACTGTTTTTTCACTTTCTGACTGTCCAGTGGAAATTCCATACCTACAGAGAAGGAAGTGTCTTTCCTTTCTAGCACACATTTAAAATTTTCAGTCAACCTGGTAAAAAGGGGACATAGCCTAATGCAATAGGCACTGGTTGCAAATGCTATGAAAAATATTCATATTCAATACGTCATATATACTTGATAAAATGAAAATTTTATTTTATAGTCAGGATAATAAATATATCTGGAAACACTGTACATTCTCTTTAACCACTTCCCGTCTGGCCCATGTATATAAAGGGCCAGATGGGAGCAGTGCAGGAGCGTTTGGCCGTTTATAAAACGTCCTCCCCCGCTTCCCTGCTTGTGCACACTCCCTGGGATCGTGCAGCACCACCAGGGGACACAGCGGAACACCAATCGTCGTATGGGACCTCTGTGTGAGGTCCCGATCATGTGATCACTGATTGGCTAATCAGTGATCACAGCACAGTAGTAAGCAAGATGTCACTTCTGACATCATTGATTACTACATGTGAAATGAATGATCACAGAGGTCACATGGTACAAGGCTATTCGCAACACCCTTGCACCATGTGACAAGCTGTGACCAATCACAGCTCACATGGTATTTCTCAATGGCTGCAGGAATGCAGCCAGAGAGAAGGAGAAATGATTGCTTTTAAAGCCTTTATGGGTAAAAAGCAATCATTGTAAAAAAAGAAAAAAAAAATTTCATCACCCCCCACAAGTAGTACAGTATCATTATGGTAACACTGTACTGCTAGGGTGACAGTATGTTAAAAAATGAATGCAGCCAGAGTGAAGGAGAAATTATTTCTTTTACAGCCTTTATGAGTGTAAAAGCAATCAGTGTAAAAAAAATCTTCATCACCCCCCACAAGTAGTACAGTGTCACTATGGTGACACTATACTGCTAGGGTGACAGTATGTTAAAAAAAAAAAACCCCATAAACAATAATATAAAAAAATAAAATAAAAATGTAAAAAAAAAAAAAAAAAATGTAGAAAAATTATAATTTTTGGTTATAAACTAATTTGGGTTATTTTGGCCAAATATTTGAATAAATTTTGGCCAAGATTTATGATGAAGAAAGATTATTTATTTGTAAAATTTTTTAAGAAAAACACTTTTTTTCAAAATGTTTGGACATTTTCATTTATATAGCAAAAAAAATAAAAATCCCAGTGGTGAATAAATACCACCAAAATAAAGTTTTATCTGTCTCAAAAAATGCTAAAAAATTCATATGGGTACAGTGTTGCATGACTGCGCAATTGTCATTCAAAGTGTGACAGCGCTGAAAGCTGAAAATTGGCCTGGACAGGAAGGGGGTAACAGTGTTCGGACTTGAAGTGGTTAAAGCTGAATTTCAAGTACAACATTTTATTAAAACATATAGCTCAATCGCCACAATGGATTTGAAACCCACCTTGTGTGCACTCACATTCCGTTGCAACCCAGAAAATACTTTGTAAAAGTAGTAGTGACATAATTTCTGTGATATACATAGCCTTTGCAGAGACCAGAGCTGTGGGAGGAACTCAGCAGGCCCACCCACTATATAAAACTATATTAGGTGGTGGATATAAGACCAGTCACCCTGCGAAAGAAGACAGAGCAGTATTGACCGGACTATATTACAGGAAACTCCTCCACAGAGGCACAGTTTCACACTGGATCTCCACAGATCGGGAAGAGATACACAAAGCACACCAAGATTCAAGTACGAATACACATGTCTCTTGTATTTAAATTCGATTTTTTTTATCCCGGAGTTTAGCTCTAAATTAGGTTTAACCACTTCCCGTCCGGTCCATGTACATAAACGGCTGGACGGGAGCAGTGCAGGAGAGGGTGGCTGTTTATAAACGTCCTCCCACATTCCCTGCCTGTGTGCGCTCCCTGGGAGTGCGCAGCAAACCGATCACTCTACGGGACCTCTGTGTGAGGTCCCAATCATGTGATCACTGATTGGCCAATCAGTGATCACATGAAGAGTAGTAAGCAAGATGTCACTTTCTGACATCATTGCTTACTACTAGTGAAACCTGTGAATGATCACAGAGGTCACATGGTACAAGGCTATTCACAACAGCCTTGTACCATGTGACAATCTGTGACCAATCACAGCTCTCACAGTATTTCTCAATAGCTGCAAAAATGCGACACAAATAGTACAGTGTCACTATGGTGACACTGTACTACTAGGGTGACAGTATCTTAAAAAAAAACCCATAAATAATAATATAAGAAAAAAAAATTTTTCAATTATAATTTTTGGTTATAAACTAATTTGGGTTTTTTTTTTTTTTTTAAAAGATAGATGAATACATTTTGGTCAAGATTTATGAAGAAAGATTATTTATTTGCAAAATTTTATAAGAAAAACATTTTTTTTTTTTTTCAAAATGTTTGGAATTTTTCATTTATATAGCAAAAAAATAAAAATCCCAGTGGTGAATAAATACCACCAACATAAAGTTTTATCTGTCTAAAAAAAATGCTAAAAAATTCATATGGGTACAGTGTTTCATGACCGCGCAATTGTCATTCAAAGTGTGATAGCACTGAAAACTGAAAATTGGACTGGAAGGGGGTGAAAGTATCCAGACTTGAAGTGGTCAATAGACTTTCTGATGTCAATGTGGCAGCAGCACTGCCTGGATAGCATTTCCAGTTTACCATATCACTTTCTTTGCTGACATTGGTCTTTTTTAATGTCTCATAAGTCTTTACCTTCACTGACCAACTATCCCATCTCTGACCATCTCTCTAGCCACTTAAGAAAATGGCAGATCGCATCCGGAAGTATCAGATCCTGAACAACGAGATCTTTGCAGTCCTCAACAAATATATGAAATCTGTAGAGAGTGACAGTTCCACGGTAGAACACGTACGGTGCTTCCAACCTCCTATTCACCAATCACTGGCCACCACCTGCTGAGAGGGGCGGAGCACGGACAACTCCGGACGATAACGACAAATCCCGTAACGTTGTGGTGCATGTTCGTCCTGTTTTCACAATACACCTACATGATGCTATAGAAGCAGCAGGACTGTACAGGACGTAGCCATGTATAGAGGTGTGGCCTGACTTCCACTTCTGTCACCATCTGTGGTGACAAAATCCACATTATGGCATCATTGCCAAGGTCTGATGAAGTCTGGTGAAAGCAGGGCGGTATTAATAGCTTCATATTGGTTTGGCCCAACTTTTAAGTATTTTTATGATGTAAAAGAGACATTTCCAGGTTGTTACCGGCTATTGGTCAGTGTGGTCACTGGGAATTTGTTTGATCAATCTATTTATTGTGACGCTGTACAGTGTTGTGGTAATTTCATCTGCTTGAAGACTATCTTGCCAATTTGTCAACTTCTACATGTTAATAATCGGTTTATTTTGTTTGAGTGGCCAATGATCTGACCAACTTTATGCCCTTAAAGGAAAACTCCATGTGATGCTCAAAATTTACTATGGAGTGGAGGGTGATTAGGCAGCTTGCTGTGTTCAGATAATTACCTACTGAGTCCTACTGCATAGCTTGTCCATCAGCCCAACTACCCCATCCCAAGTATTCCTACAACTACATTGATTAGAGAGTGTCCGCAGGTTTTCAGCTGTAAGATTGGATGCTACGTAGTATGAGGACTTGCCTGTGCAGTTTGAGTAGATTCTCAGAATACATTGTTTTGGTAAATCTAAAGGATATTGTACAGCCAGATTGTAACATGTATAAGGTCACATCACCAGATCCCAAAGAGAACCAGCTTGTGCTCAAGCAAGATTTTTCACAGTGATTGTGCAATCTTAATTTGAAAAGATTTATTTGGCTTCCTTGATCAACTTTGCTTTATCTTAGGGCAACTCTGGAACAGAAAGTAAGGCTGGTTATATACACATAGATTTTTTTTCATTCAGCCTGCACAGATTCCTCCATCCCTGCTCTACAACATAGAGAGAAGAATTTCCCGAGGGGCTTTTGTATTCTGATAGCCAGCAGCTGTCAGAATACTCCAACAGTGGCTATATCTGAGTGCAATCAGGGGCAACACGTCTTTCTGCTGGGCTCCTATGATATTTTAGTTGAAGGATCTCGGCCGGAAGGGTGTTGACAGGACCATCCGCAAAGTGAATTTTGGCTGGCTCGTCATGAACCCACTAAAATTCAAACAGTGTATGGCCAGCATTACTGTGCAGGCAGCAGTTGCTAATGTGCCAACAGCTTGACCTCATGTGGATTAAACATGGGATCTCCTAGGTCCTGAGTGTGCATAACTGTTTCCTGCCAGGGACAGAGCCACATACAGTAGTAACTATGGGGCTCGAATTAGAAGTATTGAGGTCCAGGAGTTGAAATAGTGGCAGCAGTCATACTTCAGGAGTTCTAATATACATACACAAAAAATCCTACAAAATGAATGCAGATCTATAGTCACAGCATACTTTTTCTTATAATATCAGCATTGTAATAGCAATACAAATGATAGTTTTTGTGACAATGGATGCAGCTGCTTTTCAGCCGACAGTTTTCTGCCTGGTTCTTTTGATTTTTCAGCTGAAGATATCGGATGGGACAGGGCTACCCACCAAGCTAATTTTCAGCTAGTCCAGTAAAACAAATTCCAATAGTATATGGTCAGCTTTAGTTTGTAAAGCATATTTGAAAGAATGACACACATAAGAAAACGGGAGACAGTTGTCACCCCATAACAGGAAGCACTAGAAGAAATGATTAACCATGTATTTGGATATTTTTTCAGCATGTTAACAATTATATGTAATTTTGATGTCTGGGTTTGGATTTTAGACCCTAAATAATACAGGAATAGCCAAGCTGTTAAGCTGGTTCTCATTGAAGCTGGTTCTCTTTGAAGAACAATTAGACAATTCTACATTTTATTTACTGACTGTAATAATGGTAGCCTTTGACATAAGACTCACTTTTTTATATGCTTGCTATATCATAATTTTCCGCTTATGGGTATCTTTATAACAGACAGTACAGTCTGTATCATTGCTGAACCACTGCTGTAGAAAACCCTATTGCACTTAAAGAATGTATTGTTTTCCAGACTGCAGAAGCTTCTCAGTAGATTGCTCAGTGGAGCAACCACTTTCAGCAAATCTTTTGCCACTGCTTTGCCTATAGACATGAACTGAGACAAGTGAATAACTAATGTGCATCACTACAGTACTAAGTAGGAAAACTCACATTGTGTTTGTAATGGTCAAATACAGCCCCTGTGTAAATATATATTAAAACTATAGACTTTTAAAAAATACTAATCTACATTGATAAATATTTACACTAAATCAAAGCTATGGAGAAAATAAAAAATGACAGAAAAAATTCTGCAGTCTGCCACTCACATTAACAAAGCAGTTTTTGTTTTTTTTAGTCCCATATTTCAGATAGTTTTATGACCTGTAATCTTGCTAATAGAACCATTATTTTTTTCACATCCTTTAACAGGGTGACAACACAGTTTGCTCTGCAGTTAAATCACACATGCAGTGTTGTCATCCTGCGAACAAGGTAATCCTAAATGGACATGTAATTTTAAATAGACTATAAGTAAGCAACAAATCAAAACCCAACTCCAGCTTAGGCTTTAACAATTTTGTATTCTTTTGGGAAAAAAAGGTTTAACCATATAAATAAAGTTTGTCCACTTCAAGCACCTCTAGCAGTGGTATATGATTTGTCCCAAAGCTTTGAACTGTAACTTTTGTTGGACAGTTTGTACTTCACATGTAAATGTGGAGAAAAACACAATAAAGCCATGTGAAATAAAAAATAATGTGCTATTATATAACCTCCATATAATTATCAATATACAATATTTTTCATTATAGTGGGCCCTTAACATAGTCACATTTCTAACTATATATATATAAAAGAAAATCTATAAAGATGGACGCAGGGATCAAACGGTTTCCAGGACGTCACACAGGTATGCCCTAATCACTATCCAGCCATACTAAAGTAATTGTTTTGGGTGGAGCACTCCTTTACTGCCTCTCATACAGCTGAATTAAGTACCTGAAATAGGTAACTTTTTTTTAGAAAATATTTAACAGAATTGTATTAAAGTTCTGTGTTTACATTCTAGTTTTGATTTTATATATATTTTGTTCCTCTTATTTGTTTAACCAAAAAGAGAAAAAAAAGTTACATTATTTTACCTTCTCGCTTGTGAATAAGAAGTAAAAAAATAAAAAATAAAAAAATCTTTTGTCTGATCTTGTCTCTGACATCAGTCATTTATGTTCTAAATATTTGGTACATGGGGAGAATTTTCAGGTGATTTCAAGGAGATCCAATTGACATGAACAAAAAATGAATGGCTTTATTAGCTGTGTGCAGCCAGAAATGTTGTCCCTGGATACAAACTGTATGCATCTAGGGCCTGGTCAGAGGTTCAATTTGTATGTAACCATGTGGCTGCCCATGTGAATGAGGCTTAAAGAACAGGTTCACTGTTAGTGAACTTGGCCCTAATTAAATCCCCCAGCACCCCTGAGTGCAGCCTGCTGGGCTTCCTACCCGTTCCAGTGATCTTCACTGTGCAAGCCTTCCCTTCTCATGCCATTCCCCCTGGATCCTCTTCTTATGTTTAATCTATTTTATTCAGTTTTCAAAAGTTTATGTAAGCAAACAAAACAACAAATGCACTGCATAGCAAGAATGTGCACTTTGTATCACTAGTACAATACATGAGATACACATACAGTTGCAAGAAAAAGTATGTGAACCCCTTGGGATTACGTGGAGTTTTGAATGAATTGGGCATAAAATGTGCTCTGAACGTCATCTAAGTCACAACAATAGAAGAACACAGTCTGCTGAACATAATACTACACAAACATTAGATGTTGCCATGGTTTAACTGCACATAACATGTAAACATTCACAGTGCAGGGAGGAAAAAGTATGTGATGCCCTAGCTTAATGACTTCTCCCAGAGCTAATTGGAGCCAGGAGTGAGCCAACCTTGACTCCAATCAGTGTGATGATATTGGATGTGTTGTTGACAGCTGTCCTGCCCTTAAAAAACACACACATGTTTTGGGTTTACTGGTTTCAAGAAGCACTGTCTGATATGAACCATGCCTCGCAGAAAAGAGCTCTCAGAAGACCTACGATCAAGAATTGTTGACTTGCATGAAGCTGGAAAGGTTACAAAGTATCTCCAAAAGCCTTGATGTTCATGTGTCCACGGTAAGACAGACTGTCTACAAATGGAGAAAGTTTAGCACTGTTGCTACTCTCCCTAGGTTTGGTCGTCCTGTAAAAATGACTGCAAGAGCACAGCGCAGATTGCTGCATGAGGTAAAGAAGAATCCCAGAGTGTCAGCTAAAGACCTACAGAAATCTCTGGCACATGCTAACATTTTTGTTGACACATCTACAATAAGGAAAACATTAAACAAGAATGGAGTACATGGGAGGACACCACGGAGGAAGCCATTGCTGTCCAAAAAGAATATTGCAGCACGTTTGAAGTTTGGAAAAGAGCACCTGGATGTTCCACAGCACTACTGGCAAAATATACTGTGGACAGATGAAACCAAGATTGAGTTGTTTGGGAAGAACACACACAACACTATGTGTGGAGAAAAAAAGGCACAGCACACCAACATCAAAACCTCATCCCCACTGTAAAACATGGCAGAGGGAGCATCATGGTTTGGGGCTGCTTTGCTGCCTCAGGGCCTGGACGGATTGTTGTCATTGATGGGAAAATGAATTCCAGAGTTTATCAAGACATTTTGCAGGAAACCGTACGACCATCTGTCCACCAACTGAAGCTCCGCAGAGGATGGGTGATGCAACAGGACAATGACCCAAAGCATACAAGTAATTCAACAAAACAATGGCTGCAACAGCACAGAATACGCCTTCTGGAGTGGCCCAGACAGAGTCCTGACCTCAACCCGAT